CAAAACAAATTCCACGGCTTCGTTCATATCACCGAGTTCATATGGGTCTTCAGGATGAACATCAGGCTTCTTAATTTGTAGCCGCTGGTGCACGCGGTTCCAAAGCGAGGCAGGAGCGATGGCGGTTCGAAACGCCCGGGACTGCTCAACCAGAGACAGCCGTTGCTTTAATATGAGGTATTTCGAGATGACCAGGAAAAGGCGATAAAATTCGCTATATTCAGCGCGTGAGTGAATCCCCGAGCTGGCGTATTTGCCAATGAGCGCATGGAGGTCCGAAGTCGCATATTTGCGGTCAGAATCCGTGCCGGGATAAAGCTTCAAAACTTCAGCTTTCCATGCGTCGTAGTTGTGGGGCGCCGAAAACGAGTCTAGAGACTCCCAAAGTTCAGCCTCATCGAAAGGAAGAAACCGCAGGGCGTGGCGCTTCCGTTCTTGAGCATCGGCAATGCTGGCAAGCCCGAAATGGTATTCCAGGTCCGTGAAAAATCGAGGAAGCTCACGGGGCTTTGATGGGTCGAATTCAGGTGCTCCTCGGGCACCACGGGCGGGCATGGGCACAACAGCTGCCATGTTCTGGTTCGGAGGCGGTGGAGGCGGTGGAGGTGACGGGGAGGGTGATATGGGACGGAGAATGAAAGAAGGTGATGAGGACTGCGACAAGGACAAGGAATCGGTAAGGAAGTCGATGGTGTGCAGGTTAGAATGTGGTGAATCCGAGTTGTAGTGATGAGGGAGTCCGTGAGGAACAGGAACCAATAAGTCCTCTGAGGACGAATCGGTGTGATGCGCTGCGTCTGAGAGATTGAGAGGATTCTGGGAGATAGCCCTGAACTCTAGACGGAGATTTCGAGGTTCAGAAGGGCGGTGGGCGCGGTTATAGCCTGAATCAATGTTGTAATTGGAACAAATCCCACCAGGGGTTCCAAAATGACACGCCTACGGAGCGTATGGGCGCGCAGCTGTACGGGGAGAGACGAGGGGCTAGTTGGAGGTCGCGGGGAGGGAGCTGCGGCTCGGGCTCGCGCAGTATAGTGTGTGGGATTCTGATCCTAACAAGGTCAGGCTCGGGGAAATAGGCTCAACTGAAATGGGCGGGGGCAGCAGTGAGCAAGAGGGGGAGCAAAGGGACAATAGAACAGGCGATGGGACGATAATGACGACGGAGGACAGGACGAGAGGACGATAGAACGACGGGGAGATCAATATGTATGTCTGTAGCACGAAATGGGGGTTTGGAGGCGATGTTGGGAAAATAAAGCAGAAACAGGTGCCGAGAAAGCGAGATAGAAAGTACTGGGAAGTCACTTTAGACTCTAGAGAGTGGGTGAAGAAGATTTCTTGTTTTTCTTGTACTGTACTACAGGTTTTTTATACTAAGTGTGAATTAAGTCCGAGGAGATAAATAAATTGAACCTCCTGTTGATATGGTGACCATTGAGCTCTGTGTTAATTTACTACTTAGTCAGCGCTGAATTTCGCCGAAATGAAGGTGTTAGAGCCACAAAGAGGGAATGAACTCCGAAATTTGACTCTGGCCCGATGCTTGTCATCACGTGCCAGATCAATTGTGGCTGCTTTGTCAGACCAAGCAGCTTGCTACGTCATACCATGTGACATGTGATCAATTGATTGCAGGGCCAGGGTGTATCCACGCTCGTCAGCGTCCTTGAAGTTGAATTGTATTCCTAAGCACACAGTCATACTTATAGTGATCAGTTGAGATGCACATTTGCGGCCAGACGTACCGGAATTCATCACCGCTTCAGCGATGCTCTGTGGGCATTCTCGAGCAAGATTAACAAAGTCCGGCCAGATCATGTCTCCGAAGGCAAGTATACGCAACTCCTCTTGGAGAAGCTCCAAAAGTGTTCCCACTGGGTGAGAAGGATCGGCTGCCTGCACAATAGCATACTCTTTCCCACCGGAGAGAAGCTGTCCCTGGGACTGCGTGTTAATCTGGGCAACAGGAGAGTTTCACTCGACTCACATAGACCACCATCTTTGTATAGCCGCTTCCGATGTAGCCAGTGTGATAGAAAGATTCTCCGGACTTTGCTAAAGCTTTCCCCTGCTTCCAATTGTCCGCAACTTCCATAAACTCAATTGGAGCATCGGACTTGAGATCAAAAGTGAGTTCTCGCCCAGCACCAGTGACAGAATACTGTTGGAATCAGTAAAGTGCCATTTCCGCGTTGGGTCGCGTAAGCTTCGGAGGTGGTCGCGGCGGCGGTGGCATTGGTGCCTGATATGCGCTTCAACGTACCATAGGTCCAGTGCGGCGCTCGGGTGCTGATACTTCCTCATGTTGCTTGCTAGCATGGGCAGAAGGTTTCCGTCTCAAAGCAGAAGGTAACTGTGCACTGACACTCTCAACCAAGGATTCAATCCCATACTGTTCACGAGGCATTAGGACAGTTGCTGACGAGCTCGGGGTCGCTTTGACTGTGTAACCAGACCGGCGCTGATTGATATAACAGCGGTCACATCACAAGCTGTGCTTCATGCAGCTTACCACGTCATTCCACGTGACGTTCAGCATCAGTGGCAATACTCCCATCACCCATCATAAGCTGTGCTTCATGCAGCTTACCACGTCATTCCACGTGCCGTTCAGCATCAGTGGCGATGTTGCCATCACCCATCAACACTCAATATTCGGTCTCTCATAACGATCCACAATCCCGGTTTCAAGCACTCGTCAAACGCGGCGTTACGATGCAAGACCGCCACAGAAATGGTCCCCAGACTAGGACTGAATTCCTGGAAGGGCCCAGGCAGCCCCAGAGGGACGAGATCGGTCCAGGATTTCTCTCAGAATACAGTTTCTCCAGTTTCACATTCCGTTGTGTTATAGGTCTTATGTTCCCTTTTATTTCTTCTATCTAACCAAAATCGGACTCTATTCATCTACCTACATTATAAATACAAATGTAACAGTCCATAAAAATCCAGGTTGATTTTACCCCACTTCTCACAGAGTCTTCAGGAGCCTTCACCTCTAAGACTTGTCTTTTATTCACCCCTACGTTGTCGTTTCACTCCCGTCGTCGCTTATCTTCATCCCAAAGCCACCGCTATTCCTCTACGATTTTACACATTGAGTCTGACTTAGCCCGACCAAAAACCCCTCGAATTCACGGCTATCTCTACGGCCACAGTCCCGGGCAATCAGAAGCTCATCGACGGTATCTACGCCGTCCCTCCCACCTTGTTCTGAGCCCAGGAGCGCCGTAGGCGCGTCATTGCTTTTGGGCAAGAAACACTCACAATTTTCTCTCTGGGAACAACCAGCCGAAGGTTCATGGTGTTGGAGCTCATGTCAGGGGAACCCCCGCTTCAGACCGCTCTGCCTTTGATCAGGCATGTGATCGCGCTCGCGTGACCTGTCAGCTGTCGCGTGCCGCGGCCCGGACTGCCGCGCCGAGCGCTTCTCTCTGATGGGCACATGGTCAGGTGCCCATTGTTCCTATTGTCTCCGCATCCCATTGTTCTGTCATGGCTGTTGTACTTATTGTTCCCATTGTTCCTTGTTTGTTGCTGCGCGCTCTATTGTTCTTGTATCATATAAATAGTGGCGCCTGGCAAGGAGAATCCCCAACACGGTTTCTCTTTGGATTCTCCCTTGCCAGGTATGCCGGTCTTGTACCTAGCTACCACTATTAACACCTTTGGATTCTCCCTTGCCAGAACTCTGAGATCGGGTCTCGAGGTTGCCCTTACAGCTCATTTGAGAATCAGATTTATACTTGTTAGAGTAGAACTTGGCCAACGTGTCCATGGCTGTAAGATTCGTGATGCAATTGTCCGGAACCCGTACTGGCTTTGTGGAAGAGGCATTTGGGATGGTGTAAATTGTGATGTCTGATTTGAAGAATCAGCTGGCGCCCTTGTCCTTGAACGACTTGTAGTGATAGTCTTGAGCAGTCTTTAGGATCTTGTCCACGGCATTCTCGATGCTCTCGTTTTTGTCGCAGTTATGATGGAATGTGACTTCAGGAATCCGTCGGTTCAACATTGTGAATAACATCTGTAAGTGTTGAGATGATTTGAAACTCACATTTGTGAACGTACTTGCGCCTGTAGTTCTCTTTTCCGTAGACATTGCCATTGTAATCGCAAAAGTGATGCGGTTGGCTTTTTGCCGTTGATGTTGCAGTTGCAGCACAAGTTGTTGACCGCGAGTGATCTGAGCGCCGCCACCAGTTGACACTCCCTTGCTTCCGGCGTTGAGGCGGGCATGTTGAGCCTTGGCAAGATTCAGGTTTACCGCTCGCGGCTGGATACCTTTGAGTGTCGCATGTTAGAATCTGTATTCGGCAGTGGGAAAGGAGACGCCTACCAGACCCCAAATAATGCTGAATGATTGCGTCCTTTGCCCCGGGAATTGCTGCAATCTCATCCGGTATTCTTTCAGGATCTGGGTTTATATTGAGTGGATTTGTATTGAGTGGTGGACCGGAAAAAGGCAGTGACGCAGACAACATACCAAACTGAGCAAGGCAACTTCCACATAGCGCCTTCTGCAGCTGGCCGTAGACCACGGAGCAGTTGCGGCACTGATGCTTCTCCTGTGTAAAAAGGATGAGAATGATCAATTGTTTTATGTGCGCCCAACCCAAGCCCACTCACCCGGATCATTGCGCACTTGATTGGTGAGGTGTTGAGACTGATTTGAGTGCATTTGTTGCACGGGCGGTTAGCGATAAGACCAGGAAAGAGTGTGCCACACTCCGTGCAAGGAGGCATGAATCAGAGATGTGGGACACGAGAAAAACTGAGGGAGTCAGGGTCAAAGTTTCACGGGACTGTTTCCCTGCACACATAAGCCTTGATGGCAGTCTCGTAAAAGCACATGTCATGGGCAGTATAACATACATGAGTTACTCGTTGACACAAAGCTCATGAAAACAATTCAAATATGTTGCCTGCAGGTGCTCAGGAGTCCCAGGTGGGTATATATTACTGCACGCGTTGACCATGTCCTGGTCACGTGACGGCGAAGACCTAGAAGCGAGCACTACTGACGTGTTCCAAATGACTACCAGAGATCATGTCACAGTGTGTCACCTCCATCACTAAGACCCCCAAGCTCAAATCACGATCGCATCTATCAAAACAGACCATGTCCTTAATGGCCAACGGTACTCAACATCATCGGTTGCCGAACAGAGCCTAAACATTCTATGTGAACATATCTTTCATTTCTTGACTGTGGCCCCTGCCATTTTTTGTCACGGAATGTCGCTCTGTGACGCTTAGTCATGGGGTGCTGGTTCCTTGAGGCCTACCCGGCACAGCCCCATCAACGGGTTCTTTCCCCCGGAATAGACCCGGATCTGCCCAGTGATACGCACCTGCAAGCTTTGACGGACTCAAGAGTCATACCGCTCGCGTACAGCTGTTGGTGGCGCCATTCGATATAAAGCCGGCCCCCCTCACTGCTCGCAGTACACACGCCGCCGCATCATGCCCCGCACCGCGAAAGACAAGCCGGCCGAATCGAGTGCGCACAAGGGGAAGAGTAAAGCGGCTGCAGAGAGGACGAGGAAGCACATTCCACAGGCGTGCGATGTCTGCCGGGCGAGGTACGCACGGGATGTGTCCCGCATATATCCAAGAGTCGAACGTCGACAGACACATCCGATGTGACGGCACGAAGCCTCTGTGTGAGCAGTGCAGGCAATCCACGCGGATGCATGAGGTGAAGTGTCTGCAGTTCTTTGGGTGTCGTTCTTCGCCAACGAAGGGGCCGGCAGTGTACGTGGTTGAAGGGAACGGTTCGCAAGCCGCGGACGGAGGCGCATTTCGAGGCACTGCGGAAGCAGGTCGACTCGCTGCAGGCGTATTGCCGGGCTCTCGAGGAACGCGTCGCCATATGCTCTTGCCGAACAAAGAGTGAGAGCGATTCTCTCAGCCGGCCACTGGCTTCCTTCGACGAAGAGGACGAGGAGAATGACTTTGGGGATCAGCAAGCTGACGGTGCGTGGGAAGGGGCCCGTGGAGAAGACGTCGAGGAAGAAGAGCTGGACGATATAGCACAGGAGCTGTGCATCCCCGCCCAGGATCTCAAGGTCAGCAACACCAAGATTGTGACTCCCGTTTATATCAGATCTGTTTCCACAGCTCGGCGAGCGTGAACTTGAATCTCACGGCATCACCGCGCCCTTCCGATTTCTGGCCGACTCGATCGATAACCCACCCGCTCCACCCAAATCTTCCCAGCTTTCCGAGAAGAACGCGATCTCCCACGCTGCCGACACTTATGTATTCACTCTCGACGGCAGCAACGAATTTGACCCTACGTTTCAGTGGGCCCGGTATCTTCCCAAAGAAGTCCCGCTTAGCAGACAGGAGCACGACCGCATTCTCGATCTGCTGTTCAAATTCTTCACGATGTGGTGCATGCGCGTCGTCCCGTCTCTCTTTCTGCGGGACATGCACCGCCATCTCTCCGTTCCCGGCTCCTCGCCGCCCCCGAAGACGACGCACTACTCCCCCATGCTGCACAATGCGCTGATTGCCCTCGCGTCGGGGTTCTCCGATGACCCCCGCATCCGGGACCTCCGGGCCAGGCAGTATTTCGCCGACGCCGCGAAGCGGTGCATCGAGGCAGAGTGCATGAAGCCGAACATCAGCGTCGTCCACGCGCTCTCGATCCTGGCCAGCTTCCATTCCACGCAGGGCGACCAGATGCTCGGCTATCTATACTTTGGCATGAGCGCGCGGATAAGCCAGGCGCTTGGGTTGTGCATGGACGCGCAGCCGTGGGTCAAGGCGGGCCGGATCACGGCGGCTGATATGCAGGATCGGGGGTGGGCGTATTGGACGACGTTCACGCAGGATGTGTGCTGGTCGCTCTATGTGGGGCGCGAGTTCAGCTTGCCTGCTCCGTCAGAGACTGTGCCAGTCCCGTTCGTGGATACCGCATCGGACCAGATTGCGTGGAGCTACAGCAACTCGGGATTGGATCCCCAGGCAAATTACTTGTCAAGCACGTTCTCTGCCACCTGCGACTTGTTGCTGATTGCTCGCAAGATCATGAAGATAGTGTAAGTTTCTTTTCTCTTTCAGATGCCCGAGGCTGACGCCGGTCGTTCAGAAATCGTCTGGCCAAGGTTTCGGGCAGAAGAGACCTCATAAACGACCACATGATCAGCGAAATTGAGTAAGCATGTCTCAATCTCGATGCCACATTCTAGACTAATCGTCCAGCGTGAAAATTCATGCATGGAAAAGTCGTCTGAAGCCCGAAGTGGAGATCAACGCTTCGAACCGAGACTTTGCCACGCCACATAAGTTGATGCTGCATTGCATGTACTGGTGGTCTTTCATTCTCCTCCACCGGCCTTTCTTTCACAGAAAAGCCAAGCCGATGCACGGATCGGATCCTGAAGTTGACCATGTCAAGGTATGTTGCAAGTATGTTTCACCTCCAGCATACGGGCCGACCGGCCTGACAGCTTTGTAAACGGGCAGCGGAGAATCTCATGGATCTCGTGCAGAGCTATCGATCGCTCTACAGTCTCAGATACGTCCCCATGACCATGGTTCGTGCCCCCAAAACGTGCCGTATTGCACCGGATCTCACGGACCCACAGATCCAAGTCGTGTTCTCCGCAGGAACCGTCTACCTCCTCCTCGCCGCCCGCTCGCTCTCGGGCGCTCGTATCGGGCACACAACGCTCACAGCCTCCCTGGCCCAGACCGATCTCTGCATCGACTACCTGCACGAAATCGCGAAATCGTGGTCCTGCGCGACAGCCATCGCGAACATCCTGCACGGTCTCAAGGCCGATAGGATCGGGCTCCTCCTGCGCAGGCGAGGCATGGATATCACGCAGCAGCCGCTGGATGAACCCGCGCCCGCTGTTCCTGCCGCTGCTGCTGAGGCGATGGACTTCAACATCTTCTCTGCTCTCGACTCGGGCACGAACTACGACTCGGAGATGTGGAACCTCCTCGGGATGGTCGGCGGGGAGACGCTGTCGGCGGTGCCGTTCGTGCCGTTCGACATGGGGTATCAGGATGTGGAGTCTCCTGCGCTGCGGGATGACGAAGCAGGTGCGCGGGACATGAATATGGATATGGATGCACTGTGGAAGGAGCTCTGGCCCTGAGTATTCAGTCGTTCGCAGTGTATCATATCGCATCTCACTTGACTTTGGTCTTGGGCTTCATAATGACGGTCACGCAGTAAGCAGATGGCAGAAGGGAAGCAGAAATCAATGATTTGAGATGACAAGCTCTGCCGTTCTCCCATCAAGCATACTCTATGCGACAGCCCCTCCCCTCGAGCTCCGTCATTAGCCAGTCCGCTGCATCGATTTCGTCCCGCGCCGATCGCCACCCACCTCCTTCACATACGATACGCTCCAAACTCGCAAAAAGCGGGCCACCATCAAAGAGCGTCTGCAGACACCGCTCGATCAGTGCCAACCCAAGGGGTGACATCCTCAAGGCATCCAGGCGGATACGTAGGCACACAAGAGCCGAGGCTGCGCCTCGCGGAGTGTTTGCGCCTGAGGCCATGCTCGCACAGAAGGCATGATAGCCGACAGTGTGGACGTTTGGACACCGCTCGAACACGTCGTTGAATGTAAACCACTCCACTGCTGAGTCCCCGAGATCGAGTGTACGCAGGGCAGGGAGGACGGGGAACAGGGTGTCCGAGAGACATTTGGGGCGGATCGCCAGGTGAGTGAGACAGGGGCGGAACGCGTCGCTCGCGCGGAGAATCGCGTGAATATCCGCCTCGTTCAGATCTATTGCGGACAGCAAGTGGAGGGAACGGAGGGCGGGGAAAGGATCGAGGCATTCAGGCGCGGAGAGCCCCCTGCCTATCGTCGAGGAGCTTTTGAGCACCAGATGCGTGACGTTTGGGGCGGCGGCGAGCAAGGCGAGGAGAAGCGGTCCCGACCAGTCCGATACGACCCACTCGACATGTGTGAGCTGCGCCATCGTAGACAGCGCTCGTCCTCCCGCCGTCCCCACACGCTCCAGTCGAGGAAATTCGCCCAGCGAGACCACACGCAAATGGACACAGCGGCAAAGGACGGATTCGTTCAGGTCGAAGCGGGTGGTCGAGAGCCAGGCGGTGCGGACGAAGCGAGCGGTTTCAGGATCTTCGAGAGCATCGGAGAGGGACTGCCATCCACGATCCGGTACTCGTATGTGCGCATACAACAGCGGCCGTGCCAGCTCGTTCCATGCCCGACACACGCGACGCAGTGTACGCGCATTCTAGAGGAGCTTGAATGCGAGAGGGATCATCACTGACGGCTCGCCCGTACCCGCAAAAACGCCCTCAATCTGTTCCCGCTCATCATGCTCTTTTCTCCTTCGTCGAGTGCGTTTACCGGGGACAGCCGTTCGACGGAAGCTCGATGGATCTGCATCCATATCTCTGGCGGAAGCGGAGGGGTTTGTCTTGCGGGGGGACGGTCTTGCTTGCGCATCATGGACGGGGGACGAAAGAGACGTTGATGGCAGATGATGATCCACTCCTCCCTGATATCCTCCGCCATGTGGTACTCCAGGCATCCCTACTCCACGCTTGCACATCTACATATACGACGAGCTAGCTGCGCAATCTCGCGGACACGTCGACTATTTCGCTGTTACACAAGATGACTCGGCCGACGACACGTCATTCAAGATGACAGAGCTCAAGAAGATGACTGAAGGGCACACGCACGTCCGAACCGTTCTCTACTCAGAGAATTTGTCTCAACAAGAATCTCTGCATTGTGGGCGAATTCCGAGTCGACACTTGTGCAGAGTGGGCTGTCCGAGGTATTGAATCCAAGCCATCATGGACACCCATCACGTGCACACTTTCCGCATCTTGTCCCTGTCGCACTCTATTACGGGTCGTACTCCCAGCGTTTTATGGCATTGCAGTGTACTTGAATTGACTGCTCGTCTCTGCAGATATCTGTCGCATGAAGCGCGCAGTATTAGCCAGCATGTGTCGTTCTTGTGCAGTACTGTAGCGACTACCTCCAATCAGCATGTTGTAGAATTTTCGGTACAAGGGGCGCTCGACGTGATAGGATCAAAGATGTGATAAGTTTTCTTTGAGATTCAGTGATCTGGAAAAAATTCATGATCTCACATTTGTTTCTCAAAGATCCGGGACAAAAAAAAATCAAAGGGTTATAGGCCTTGATGTAATTCAGTGAGCCGCAAAATCTTGTTGGAGAACTGGCAACGTTAATGATTGTGCGCTTCCCATGAACATGACAAAAGGTCCCGAATCGGACCGTTGTTGCGAGGCCCCAATCAAATAGGAAGAGGCAACGACTGCATGATGTACGATATACATTGAGTCAAAGTACATGGAGGTTCCGCAGTGTTTCTCCCAAAGTATCTACGCCTTTCGAATAGCCTGAGGAATAGGCAAACGTTCGAAATGGGTCACAGATGTCATCAGATTACTGTGCGCCAATCCATCGCCCTGGAAAGAAAGGCCTTCAGCTTGCATATTTCGTCGATGAGTTCGAGAAAACGTACAATCATGAAGTTGGGGAAGCCGGGGTCGAATGGCAGGATGCTCTCGAGATAAGCGATGTGTTCCGGAGTCAGGACAATGTCGAGTGCCTCGACATTCGCCAAGAGATGCTCGACTTTGCGACCACCGATGATGGGGAACACGTAGGGAAGCTTTTGCATCAAGTACGCGATCGCAACTAGGAGCGGATTAAAAAAGGCGGGAGATTGGGGGTAGTGGAACGCACCAGAAGTGATGTGCTTGGCTCCGACTTCTCCAGCCACCTTCTCCAGGGCCGCAGACATCTTCCTCTCGTCCTCGTTTCGCTCCCAATCGGGCCCAAACATCGTGCGGCCCTTCTCTCCGGAAATACGGCGCGCCTCTTCTTCGGCATCGGTGCGCAGTTTGCCGGCGGCCAGGACGTTCCACGGAGCCAGCGCCATCCCTGGAACTGGATAAGCACAAGAAGCTCGAGTCATTCATAGATAGTGCGCGCATACCGTATGCACGAGCCATGGGGATAATTTCGCGCTCGAACGAGCGGGCCATCACATTCCACGCGCCCTGGTAGATCACGAACTGTGACTTGCCGTGGTCGCGGGCGTACTGGTTGGCCTGCGCGACAACCCAGGCGGGCGTGTCTGAGACACCGAGGTAGAGAACCTTGCCCTGCACCACAAGGTTGTGCAGGCCGTCCATAACCTCCTCGATGCTGGTGTCCCAGTCCCACCAGTGCATGTAAAGGATGTCGATGTAGTGCGTGCGTAGCTTTTTGAGACTGGCATCGACGCTGACGTTCATCGACTTGATGTTGTTGCCGACGTAGTTGACCTGCTGGGTGTACTTGGGCTGTCGCACTTTGAATCCAGAAGTATACTGAAGATAATTCAACATCGTCCTCCAGCTGTATTTCAATGAGCGGTTCAGTACCTTGGTAGCGATGACCAGCTGGTCTCGGATGTCGCGCTTCTCGGCCCATTCGCCGATGAACATTTCGGACGTCTCATCCTGGCTGCGAGACATGTCAGAGGCACTGCCGAGATGTATCGCCGCGAGATCAACGCACTAGACGTTCGCAGTGTCGATGAAGTTTCCGCCCGCGTCAAAATACGCGTCCAGGAGTTTGAAGCTGGATGCTTTGTCCATAGATCCCATCCCCAGCTTGTCCCACTTGTCGCCGATGCTCATGGCGCCCAGCTGGAGGGGCGAGACATGCACGCCCGCTTTGGCCGAGAGTGTGCGGTAGAATCCGAGCTTGGTGGCTGGCTGAGGAGGGGGGGTCCAGAAAGACATATCGCTGCAAGATCGTGAAAGAGGTGAGGCGAGTATGAATGAGCACAAACCTAGAGGGCCCCCCTTTTATACGGCTTTCATTCCAGCCCACGACTCAGAGTTGATCCAAAAAATCCACCGGTTCAACGAATGCGGCGAAGATGTCCGGTCGGCGATGGCTTGCGCGTACTGTGCCGCTGACAAATCCACGTTGTTTCGGCTGAGTCAGCAGGCCAACGTCGCATCGGATGAGCATCCGGTACCTAGCGGTACCTGCTTTACAAACTAGACGAGCCCGGACTGACGTAACTCTGCAATCGACAGCATGAGACTTCCCGCGACACTGAGAACGGACGCACTTTTCCGAAAGAGGACACTGCTCATCTTCAACGATCTGATCACCCCGGCGCAGCCCATCGAGTGGGCTGAAAGTGAGGAATTGCCTGGCTCAGTTCAGGCTCAGTTCATTATCATTTTACCGCACGCGTTTCGCGCCTTTAGAGTTATGTACCCAGAAAACGTGGTCTAAATTCAGTGAAGCTTGCACCACTTCGACCAAATCATCACCGGAAAGAGTGAGATCTTCGAACCAGACAGAGATGTTTTGAACGAGATCCCTATTTTACTTGCCACGGACAGACATCACAGGTGCTCGCTCGACATTATCTCAACAATATGTTCGAATGGCTGTAGGTGTGATATACATTAGTCACGGGGAGCTAGAACGTTGTACGACGTCTGCTGCACGTGGTCTACTGGAATAGCCCCCAGGCGTCTAGACGTTTCGACCCTTCTAGACCCGGCTCGCCCGACCCTCGGCCATCACTCGGCTTTTATCGTCCCCGCGGGGTCGAGCCTACCTGGGAATGCAGTGATAGTAACACGAGCCCTATCGCTATCTTGTCAAGTAAATTTCCCGCATCACATGTCGACTTTCGTGTGTCCTTATGGTAGGATTACGAATCTATCTCTGGGAATAGAACGCGGCCCAATGCGCACTTTCATTTGAAATGGTCTTTAGTGCAACAACTGCTGGGCGGTGCAAAAAATGTCAAACGGGAATCCCCGCTCTGATGGGATTTATCCGATGAGGAAACCTTGCCGCAGTCCGAAGCGACCGTGTTTTCTTTTGCCCCAGAAAAAATTGCCGTCCGTGAGACAATTGCTGGTTTACCCAGTTGAGGGAGCAGAGCCCTTCATCGGCAGTGTGACGCAAGCCAGTTGCCAGATATAAATCTGTGCCACAGTCAGCCAATCGAAGGGTTGATTTGAGGTCACTTCCAGATTCGTGAGCAGCTGGAACGCTCGGACGCAAGATCGTTGAACCTTGCCAGACGGTAGAACAGGCAGAGGCGGGAACAACACACCTTTTGAGTACGGCGCGCGGTGGGAGGGCAAGCGGCTGGTTGATTTCGAGAGCTTGAGCAGGGCACGACAACCTGTTGATCATCGACTCAAAGCGATTGCTGAGCACAGGAATGAGCTCGGATGATGCCTGCAGGCGGCTAGTATTGGCCTGTCGTTGGGTCTTCTCGTCCACGCACCGATTCGAGACCGGCGTGTTCCGGCGGATCGTTATGCGCCGTCGCAAGACTCAGCGAGATAATCCTGGAGGCTCTTCCACAATAATCATCCCCTATCGTGAAATGTTTCATTTCGGTCACGACTGTCCGGAGTGCGTGGATATCCGGTCGCTGAAGCGGGTCCTCGTGAAATCAGCGGCGGAGAGGTTGTGCGCTGATTGCGATATTTTCGGCGCAAGCAGGCGGTAGGTATTTTCAGGACGGTAGGCGGTGTAGCCCGCATCAGTATCTTCCGCCCTGAACCAGGGATGGTGGCCAGTGATAAGGCTGGTGAAGATAACAGACCGGGCCGACATATCACTGTCTCGTGGCGAGTATCCTAGATTCCGGGAACCGTTGATGGATTCTGCGAGACCAGGAAACATAGAAAACCGGCCTCCGCACCCATACTGGAACAAGACATCCTTCCGAGTCGACGGCTCAGATTGCAGGAACCATTGATGAATTCTGTGAGCTCAGAGCTTATGGGGAGATCACCCACATGATCTATGACTGAGAGGAGCCGTTTATTGAGCGAGCTCCCTAGCAAATTGTCGCTGTTGCTCTCACGCGGCGCGCCAAGTCCCCGGGCTCCGCCTTGTCGGATGTTACCTCACTCATGTGATCTCATTTCTTGCGGTCCTACGATTGGATCACAGGCAGAACGCTCATCCTCCCACAACATTCCCCTGCCGAATCCAAAGTTATGAAATGGCCCTTCAGGCAGGATATCTTGCCCGCCAGCAATCTCACTCCCATTTTCCCACCCGAATTGGAACGATGCATATTTGAACTGTATGCTCTCGAATACGCCGGTCCAGAAAGAATTCTTCAAGTTCTCACTGTTTGTCACCGTATCAGGACCTGGTCCGTCTCTTTCCCTTGGTTTTTGTTGCTCACTCATCTCGTGGTGACAAGGTTGGAGCCTTCCCTCTTTCGCACGATCGTATTACACGACTCTGGAGCCGACAACAAACTTCCCGCCTGTGACATCGACACGATCCAACGAGTATCTGAAGCCTATCCCGGCGTTTTGCAGATTGTCGTGGCTAACGTCTTACTCATCGGAGAGGCGCAGGACACTGTCGAGCGCCTGATGCAGATATGCGCTGGGATGAGGAATCTCTTTTTTTCGGGATCGAAGCCCGAAGTATTCGGCCTCCCGGCCTCCCTGCGACGGTTGCATTGTGCTATTGAGACGTTCTATTTCTCTAAGGGTGCGCATCTCAGTCCCCTCAAAGCTAGTTTAACCTCATCAGTGCAAGTAGGGATTACCTTCTCCTTGCTCACCCACCTTGAGTTGTTCAACGTTGGGCTGAACTGCGGCACACCGGAGTCTCGCCCCCTTCTGCTGGGGGCCAAAACGCTCCTACCGAATCTCACGCATCTTGCTTTTAGCGTGTCGACTGTCATCTGCAGGCTCCCGGATATCCTGCTGTGCTTGACGTCCCTGGAAGCGGCCATCATTGTCAGTTCCTATCGCGTCGTCTCATCGATTCCGTTGCGCCCCGAAGAGCGGCAGGTTCTCGAGGAAGACTGCCGTATTGTCCTCGTCTCTGTCTCTGATTACATCTTGGACTGGCAAGACGGCGTGTTAAGTGGAGAAGATTACTGGAAAAGAGCCGACCGCAGGGTTAGCAATCGCAAGACCGGAAGAGTGGACGGTGAGCAGCGGCGTTGGAATTGCAATACCCGTGATCTGCTAACCCCTTTTGTCAGCATCGAAATTTGCTGTGAATTTTAACGATTGTGATTGATTGTGTTTAGAAAACCAATGTATATCAACCACATTTTCTTTTTGCATGAAGGGAATACTTTCTGGGTCTGGGATTGATTGTAAGACATGGAAAACCCATGGAGCTTCAATTCATTTGGTAAACACGCTTTGCTAAGGAAACCCGGAAGGCCCTGCTCAATAACCGAGACGGCCTGCTCAACAACCGAGACAGCTGACAGTGATGGTGTGATCTGGGGTCCCGCTCACCGAATTGTAGGCTGAGACATTGGTAATATGGTTTTGTAGACAACGGTGATCATTAAGTTCCTCAGTCAAGCCTGATAGGGGCAGGAAGACTGAGGATGCAACACAACAAAAATAGTATAATTGTGGTATTAAAAGAGTGTGGTGGCCGGCAGCGGATTGATCACCGTCAGGCTCTGAATTTTGATAAGTGGTTGGACTCTACCGGGTCAGATCGATCAAATTCTGTATATGACAATCGGCGCTGACAGGAAAAGCTGCCCAGGCAGAAGGAAAATATGATTATCGTTTCACATGAACTGCACGCCTCACATGTGATTTTATGAGTGCGTGCGAGCATCGATCCCAGGTATAATGCCACCGTGAACATGACTTCCCTTTCAAGAGCTCGCCTGATGGGCCGAGTGCTGGGGCCCGCAAGCGATGTTGAACGAAACATGTTGGAAGCTTTCTATGAGTATGACGACAATTCAAGTTACCATAAGGAACGTACGTACTCGGACTCCGCCAAGGCCAACAAGGTCAGAACTCAGAATCTTGGTGTATATACTGTACCGGCGGCCGCAGTCGTCAGCATAGCTGCCAGGGTAAACAAAAACTCATGTTATCTTTACAGGTAAATTTCTCCCTTCACATACTGAATTTCCAAGTCCGCATGATGAGAGCGAAAGATTGATCCATAGTAAGATAACATCGCCAAAACAATCTTCCATTCCTAATCGTTCTTGATGCACTCGCTACTGGGGCTCTCAAGCGATGTTTTATTTGTGACTGCACTAGCGGTAATCCGATAAGGTGACCTTTCCGGAGCGAGAAAGGAACTGTGTCTGTCCTCATGCTGGCGCGCTTTGCCGTCCGTGAGACGATTCATGGGTGATTCGTCTGAGGGAAGCAGGATTTGTCACCGGCACTGTGTACGCAAGCCTGTCGCCGGACGGACATCTTTGCTGCCACCGCCTGCAATCGATGGGTTCATTTGGCGTGACCTGCGAACTACCCAGCAGCTGGAACGCAAAGCATGTGAATACGGAGCGTTTTTTCTGCTTCTTTTTTACACTGTTCGGCGCACATCTGTCGAACAGACTGGGCTCTTCCACACTGCTATCGACTTGACGTTCTGAGCCATTCCCCAGTTCCGCAGGGAATCTTATGGGCTTACTGTCGCTTGCAGATTAGCTGTTTGTAGTTGCCTCACGATAAAGTGCCTGGCGCCTGTCGCCCTTGTTGCATAAAAGTCGACTTAGAGCATGTGGTGCAGACGCTGCTGTTGAATCTGGTATCCCGAATTCACTCGTGTGAGCTTTAGTATCAATACATACGAATGCACAGAGTTCGTATCATTTACAAGCTTCTTGTTCAGATCTATCGTTTCGACCGTTTCTCGCCCGGCCGAATAACCGCGAAGCTGCACAAGACAGATCGCGTAAGCCCGTTCGTCGCTGAGAAGGGCGGCAAAGGCAACGGCCGCGGACGCATGAGCAATCGCTGGACCTCTCCGAATGGTGGAGCAGGCAGAGGCCGGGACGGTACGCCTTTCAGGACGGCGCGGGGTGGGAGGGCAAGCGGTGCATGTATGTCGAGCTTGAGCGAGGGTCGCTGAGCGAGGACGTCGGAGGAGGAGCTCGATTCGACACTCGATGTGGGTGTTGTCGGCAGGCTCGAGTCTGATGCGGCATTCTCAGACGACCGCAAGGACGAGTGGGAAGTGGTGGACGAAAGTATCATGGACGACAATCCGTTGATCATCGACTCACAACGACTGCTGAGAACAGGACTGAGCTCGGATGGCGCGTGGAGGCGGCTGGCGTCGGCCTGTCGTGGTGTCGTCTCGTCGCACGCCGATTCGAGACCAGCGGATCCCAGCGGGTTGGCATCCACCATCGTATGACCCAAGACAGGAATCTTGGAAGTTCTTCCGCTACACTCATCCTCCATCGTGAAATAGTCCATTTCGACCACGGCTTTCCGGAGTGCGGGAATGTCCGGCCGCTGACGCGGATCCTCGTGAAAGCAACTGCGGAGTAGGTCGAACGCCGAATGTGAAATTTTCAGCGCGCGCAGGAGATAGGTATTATCCAGACGATAGGCAGTGTAACCAGCATCAGTATCTTCCGCGCTGAACCAGGGATGGCGACCAGTGATAAGGTTGGTGAAAACGACAGAGAGGGCCCACATGTCACTGTCTCGGGGCGAGTAACCTAGATTGCGGGAACCGTTGATGGACTCTGCGAGCTCGATGCTTAGGGAGAAATCAAGCAAAGCAGCACGGAGCACGTACCAGGACTCATATAAAACCGGCTCCCGCATCCGAATTGGAACGAGACACTTTTCTGCGTCGACAGCCCAAAGTCCGCCAGCCGAATATCCAGCCCCGTTTCTGAATCTCCACACAGAATATTCTCCGGTTTCAAATCCCGATGGTAGATGCCCATCCGATGCAGAAACTCCACCCCGTCCAGGATTTGCCCAAATACGACCTTGATGATGTGCGGTTTGCCGGAATACAGCCCCCGATCGACCATGGCGGTGAAGAAGTCGCCCCCGTCACAAAAGTCAAGGACGACGAACACCAGGGGCGCGGGTTCGACCATGGTGAAGACCCTGTGAAAGGCGATGATTCTCGGGTGCATCGCGCCGATGCGGTGCAAATGCAGCTCGTTCGCGACCATCTTCTGGCCCCGCGAGTCCGGCTCGTACTGCGGCATGCACTTGACTGCGTAATACGCCGGTGCGTTCGTCGGTGAGGATGTATCGAGCGCTTTGTAGACCTTGCCGTAAGCACCCGATCCCAGGAGGCTGAGGAGAAGGAGTCGTCCGTTTTCCACTGTCTCGCCGGTGAGGTCTGGGAGCGTCGATGAGGCCGTCACAGACGATCGGGATGATGAAGACGGCATGTAAGAAAGCGATAGGATATCGAAGCAGAGATAAGAGCACGACGCAGATAGGATAGCGGGAGAGAACAAGACCGTTTAGCGTCAGGAGATGTTCCCTTGGCCATGTTTATATCGAGCGCGGAAGAAAAGTGAGACAAGGTCTCCTCTCTCGGACAATCGTTCAAGAGCGAGTAGATATATATCAGTATCACTTGCGCCATGAATCGTCTCCGCAACTTGTCCATATGCCTATAATAATACAGCGCTGATCGTCAGAGCCAGCTGTAGTCCGAAGAGAAGATGCAAGTGACGCGTGATGTCACATCCTTCTTCTCCGAGTCCGTCATCGCACATGGCAGATTCAGTTTCGCAAACCTCCGGTGCACCTCGAGGAAGAGGCCGCGGCAAATCCAGAGGCGGGCTCGGCAAATACCTGCGAGCGCGGGGCCGTGGGCGTGGCGGAGGCGGCCGTGCGGCCGAATTCGCGCCCCGGCTGCTCCTCGAAGGTGAAGTGGGCCCCAGTGCACGGTACGCAACGGCGGACTGTGAAGAGGATGAGGATGCGCGGAGGGAGAGAGAGGAGCGGGAGGCGGAGCTGAGGAGGAAGTACGGGCGGAGAGGACTCGGGACGAATGCGGATCGGTATAAGGAGGAGGAACCCGAGCTGGACTCGGACGGTGGGGCGCACTCCTGTTCTTGGTGCTAAACCAGCTCATCCTTGTACCAGGCGAGCCGATCGTCGAGCCTGAAGTCGATCTGTCATCGTTTTTGGAGCGGCAGCGACTTGAAGACCCGCGGGCACCCACCCTAGGGTCTTCGGATCGGCAGCATGAAGACGACGAGGATGACGTAGATCACTCTCTGGACCACATATCCTCCATGCCCGCTCGCAGCACAAATTTCCTGCCAAATTGGAAAGGCAAGGCTCAGGAAATCGTGTGGGACGACTCGTTACAGGTTCTGTCCGAAGAGAAGCAGGCTGCGGACGCACTACGAGGTACGACGTCGATCCGGTCTCCATCTTCTTTCTTGACCAAATCCCATTGACAAATTCACAGAGCTTAAATCCAGATTCCGGGCCAAATCAGATAAACTGCGTCGAGCACCTGTTGTACCACTAAAGAAAGCCGTGATACAGCCTATGATCGCCCCACCACTACCGCTCCCAGACGGATCGTTGCCTCCTGTTAAAAGCGAAATGGATGAGATGGAGGACTTTTTGGATGACTTGATAGGATGAACAGCGCCGGCTGCCTGGCGACTATGGAAGTTCGAAAACCCAGAGACTTGTATGAAAATACTAAAGGAATCGTTCGTGTAGGATTTCCTGAGCTTGGAGGGTGTCCAGGGATATCACTCCATCGAATTTATATGACAGAATGGAAATTCGTCTCGAGGACTCCTGGACTCAAGTTTGAGCATGCAAATCTTGGAACTCGGAAGCCCGGGCCGCGAGTGCGCGCAGACAGCCCATCGGTCGGGCCGATTCGGACCTGAAATCAATCGTCAGGATTATGATTTCCCCACACGCCTGAGCTCGATCCCAGGACGCTGATTCTCGTACACGCTTTCAGTGCTCGAGTATCTCACCTCAGTGTCCGGTTGTTTAAAAGATCCCGTCAAGATACAGTACTTGCAAATGTTTCTAAAAAGAAATATAACTAAGTTTCTATCCTAATCCGCGCAGACCACAGATGCCCGTCTACGTTCTGCGGCGGAACTTCAAACACTGAGGTTTGTGAGTTGGCCAATGTGCTTTCTGGCATGCTGGGCTGCAGTACGACACGCTCTCGCAGGCCGCGCAAGACCTCGGCTTGGTCCCCCATTTCTCTAAACGCTCCTCGATCTGTGCATCGCGCACACCGCGAACCCTCTCATCTCTGAGCGCAAAGAGCGCCTGTTGCTCTGGGCACCCATCGGCCTCACAGCCGAAAAATTCGATGCAGTCCCATTTGGCGCCGACGGAGTAGTTCGCCCACTGGTACCGCTTCTCCATTGTGCGAGGCATTTCCGCGTACGATCTCAACAGCTTCTCCCATTCGGCGGCTGTCTCCATTGGAAGTTTATCCCGCTTGATCACGTGCTGGATGTAGTAGAAAAGAACAGGGTCGTCGTCCGTTTCTTTTTTTGATGCTTGGACGAACGGCGCCAGACCATATAGGCTGTACATGTTGAGACAGGCGTTGATGAAAATGACAGAGCACTGTATCTGCTAAGCAAAGCGATAAGCGCAACAAGTTTCACGCGCGTACCGCAATGTCTGTTGTTTCGTGACTGATCTTCCCTTGCATTTCTCGAGTGATGGCGAGGAGAGACGCAGGTTTCTGATTCTCCCAAGCCTCAGAAGGCAGTGTTTTGAGCGCTTCCTCGCACACGGATGCGCAGGAACTGTTGATCTGCAGGATGATCAATGTAACGGAAAACCAAGTAAGGCATAACCTACCCAGTCCCCAAAGAGGGCCGCCAATCCACCGGCCTGACCGAACTCTGTCAATAACGGCTTGCTCCAGTAGATTGGTCTCATCGCATCCGTCAATGCGTCCCCCAGCGTCGCTCGATAGGTTGGATGGGTTGACCACAGCACAAGCCGCTTCATAGCCTTGGAAGCCCAGCGTTTCTCAGCGGCGTCTCCGCTTGTCCCGCCCATGATGATGAATCCGACCGTGACATCACCGTAGAACCACGAGAGCACATGGGCCGCGAGATCGCCATCGGCCTTGTCCTCTAGCTCCCCGGCGATCTCCCTATCCGAGTCCTCCGCCTCCACATCGGCATCGACGCGCTGCCGAATTGCGACCGCCATCTTGCGGAACGAGCCGATGTCCATGTCGTCCTCTAACAGGAGCTGCTCAAGCTGCGGGCCCCCACGAGCCATAGCGGCACGGAGACGCGGGGGATCGAGCTGGAGGAGCAGGCCGAGGCGGTGGAGGGTGATACCGACGTCGGACATGGCGCCCCAGTCGCAGTAGACGAGATCGGCGTGCTGGCGCCGGGCGACGCGAAAATCGTAGTAGACGCGGAGCAGATGGCGGACGCGTTTGAGATGCTTCGTGAGCTGCACACGTGAAGATCGGCGCCGAAAATCGAGCGAGATGGGAGCCCAGCACGACGCACCATCGCGAAATCAGCACTCCCAGGCTCCCTGCCATAGTCCACCTCCACGATCTTCCCGAGCTGCGCCAAAGCATGCATCATGCCCCCGACTGCGGGCGGTGTTTGTGCCTTGGAGATCCCGGGCGCCAGGAGCGGCGAGCCGGTCACCGATTGGAGCTTGATTCCCATGTGCGCAAACTCACACCGCGCGGCGACGCGTTCGGAGAGGGTGCCTGTCGTCCCGCGTTGCCGGGCCGCGCACGCGATGTCGGGCTGCATGGACTTGCCAAGCGAGACCAGCCGCCGGAGCTCGTCCAGGTCGGCTGGGGAGAGGGCCAGCTGGGATAGGTCTGCCGGCATGGCGGGAAAAAGAAGTCGGCGGGTCACTGATGTGACTGTCGCGTTTGATGCAGGACGATCACATTTGCTCAATGTTCAGATTCTTGTTGTGTAAGAAAGAATACGCGGAAGGAATTTACTCAAAAGAATTTAAACAGGACTCTGCGATACATAGCTAATATACAATATGCGGTAATTAGGTTCCTGATATGATAATTGGATGAAAAATGACAATCCGAGAGCACTGGAAAGAGACAAAAATAGACAACATGGGGGATGGGGGGTGGTTCAATTGGCTGTGTTTCAGCTTCTGTATGTTCTTGCACCACAGTAGCAAAGCATATTCATCGGGCAGATGCAGCGGACGCCCGGGATCGGTGCTGCGTAATCTGGCGTCGGGACAAGCGTGGGATGGCCGGGCCACTGCGTTGGCGGCGGGTATATCGACGGTTCTGGGGACCACGGGTAGCTCGTTGGGGCGCCGATGGGGTGCTGCGGGATGGCTCCCGACCATCGAGGATCCGGCTGAGTCGGGTTTGAATGAGAGGGCCGCTGCGCAGGGTATTGCGAACCCGTGAGCACGATCGGCTGCGCGCCGTTCGTCCAGTACTGCTGCTGCAGCGAATTGGTCGGGTAGATAGACTGATTGGCGCGGCCCTCCTCTTCCTCCTGCTCTCTTATCGTCTTATAGACACATCCCTCGTGGCGCCGGACACAGTTCTCGCAGGATCGTTCCCAGTCCCCGTCGTTCACGCACTTGACGCGTCGCCTCCGGCAGTTCATGCAGGCCAGATAGTTCCGCGCCGTCATCGACATATGAGCCCTGGATTTCAGATAGAGGTGCTCTGAGGATTCAAGAGGGGGCGGATGAGAGAGAGATCGTCGCCGAGTAGGAGGGATGACTTGAAACCCAAAGCTAGCAGGGGGTTTTTATCCGTCCCGGGAGGCTTGCACTGACTCATACATCCATAAATTTTGATCTAGACTCGAAACTGAAGGCTGTAGAGTTGAACGTCAGTTTGCGGCTTTTCCCCCTCGATAGGATCACTTCGGGAGGAGGTCGGGCAGCGGCTCGCTGGATTGCATGGCATCGCGCAATTGAGTGCACCGAGTAACTGTCGATAGGATCATCCATTTGATGCACCCCGCAGCTGTACGCTGAAGATCGTCGCTGGCTTTACAGCTTCCATTTAGGTCGCAAATCTGTCAATTGCTCCCTCCGTCCTTGCTGTCAGTCATTAAAAAAAATCGACCTGAACAGGTTTTTGGAGCGCATATCAAACAGTTCCCAGTTCAGCTCTCTTCCCCGTGAGCTGGGGGAGTCAGAGCGACGAGTCAATGCAAATCATCGCGTTCGCGGCTGTGCGCGCTTTCAAAGAGTGATAACTGATCGGACATCAACTGCCTTATCGAGCTCCGTGGGGCGACACGTCAGCCACCACCGCGCAGTCAGAGATACCAGCTCAGTTCGTGCGGAGCCGGGGTGAAGGTGTGTGCGGGAGTGCTTACTGACGCACACTGATTAAAATATAGGTGATGTTCTCCCTTGGGCTGCGCACCAGCAGAATTACGCGGCCAGAATCCGGAGCCGAGCGCACAGCGACCTTTGATTGTTTGCAAAGCCTTGATCAATCCGGGGGAGTACGTACCGGTGAGCGCCGTTAGCGTGGTTTTTGCTTCCACGTCAGGTGAGCTGGGAGGCTCGCGCGTGGGAAAATCACTCGATGGGATTGCTGTCATCCGTCTGTGTCAAGATTTCAAGAACTGCTTCTCCTCTGCCCCCATCATGATCCCATAGGACCGAGAGAACACGGACCGGAGGCTGTATTGTGAGAAGTTGGGTCTTTTCAGCGGTCACGTGTATCTGTAAGCGGCATAATTCGATGGCCCACCATCTGACAGTGTTTGCCATGCCATGCCCTGCGCCATGGATCACAGCGGGCATCATTTCTCGACTTTCGAAACGCCCGCCACGGATGTCTCCCTCGTCGGCTAATTTCGACCTCGGACGCAACTGGGACGATCTGCACCGCGTTGATCGTCGCATCACAGATATTGCGCATGCTTACTGCATGATGGAAGGGATTCTTGTACGCAACAGGCTGGAAGGCCTGCCCATTGGCTGAGCAGCTGATAATTTAGGACCCTTCTATGTCTCGGATTGTTTGATACCGTCCATTGGATCTCTATTATAGGGATGGAGGTATCCATCCCTCCGGATCGTCAAACCGGCACCTCTCTCCCTCTCTCTCTCTCTCTGCAGCTGCCAACCATGTCGTCCGCCGCGAGTCCCCCAGTCCAAGCCCCTCCCGGTTCGAGCGGAGGAGGCCCTCCCCCCATCACATCGCTGTGAGAGTCGAGCGCCTCCGATGTTAATCGACGCTGAGCTTGCTGCAGATTCGGGCCCCTGCTCATCGGGATCCTGCTGAACACACTCATGTTTGGGGTGCGTCTGGACCGTTGGTGATTTGAGTTTTCTTGCTGAATCATATCATCACAGGTTCTCATCGTACAGGTATCCGTTTCCCGGCACCGGCTTTCGTCCAGCGCACTGAGGGGTCTCAGACGTACATCTACTACCACCAGTATAAGAGGTAAGTGACGTTCGTGGACCCGGTATGGAGGAGCTGAATAGCCGGCCAGCGACCGCCGCTGGTTCAAGATTCTCGTCGCATATCTGCTCTTCATGGAGACAGCGAATTGGGTGTGCGACGTGGGAATCGTCTACGAGCCGCTAATTCTCCGCTATGGTGAGCTCATCAAATTTACGGGACGTCTTCCTTCTTCTCCCTGGACTGATTCAATCATCTTGACAGGAACTCCGGGTGCACTCATCACATCGCCCCTCAGTACGCTTCTGCCCTTGATTGCGATATCGAATGACTGATCTCACCGGCTTTGGAAAGTGCTGATCCCAGGTGCGCAAATTACAAGCCTAACGCGACAGAACGCACTCCTGACTGGAAGCTCTGCGTAGACGGTGCCATGACGGTGCGCATGATCCATACCCCAATCGACGTTGATCCGGCGCTCACACGGCCCGTCGCAGGTGCTCATCTCCACCCCGATCCAGATATTCATGGCGTGGCGTATCCACGTCGTAACGCACAACTGGCTCGTGCCCGGCCTGATCGTCGCGACCGCGCTCGGCTCGCTCGCGGGCGGGATCGGCCTCACCGTCGTCGTCGCGGGGCACCGCGACTTTGCGAGCTTCGCGTCGTTCAAGCCGGAGGTCATCACGTGGCTCGGATGCAGTGCGGCGTGCGATGTGTTCCTCACGGCGTCGCTGGTTTTGTCGCTGTGGAATCGCCGCGGCGGGATCGCATCGGCGTCGGATGCGAATTATATAAACCGGATCATCCGGCGTGAGTCCGGTGCTTGGCCGTGGGTGACCCCGGATGCTGACTGGCCCTCGGCAGTGACCGTGCAGACGGGTTTCATGACTGCCACTGCGGCTCTGCTGGACTGCATTATCTACATCGCACTGCCGGGGACCACCTAGTGAGCGGGAGAATCCGACGCTGTTCGTGGGTTCGTGCTCACAAAATCATCGCAGCAACTTCATCATCGACTTCCCGCTGTCCAAGATCTATTCCAACACGCTGATTAGCACGTGAGTTCTTTTGCATCCGCGCTCTCCATTCCTGTGCGAACCCACCCATTCTACTCGATTAGGCTTAATGCGCGGCCGTGGCGGCAGGAAGGGCTGAAAGCCGACGAGCCGAATGCGCTGTTCGAGCAGACGCCCGACGGGCACTCCCACTCGAGCAGCTTTGCGTTGGCGAGTCGGGATCGCAGGAGTGCGCACGTGATCGTGGTGGGTTCTCATATCCGGCCAATTTCTGTCTCTTGTGCGTGTGCTGGCTGACTCGTGCTCTGCAGAGCCGGTCGACGCAGGCCTTCTCCGACGCACTGCCCCTCGACAGCGTCTCCCGGTCGAAGTACGCTATGACACCGGATGCAGAGAGTGGCTATGCGCTCGACGATGTGTCGTCCCAGACCAAGTCGCAGCCGAGATTCCAGCCAGACGCGCCAACGAGGGTGCATTATCCACCGCGTATGGACGAGCATTCGGGTTGGGCGGAGCCTTGAACCTCTCGTTGTAAAATAATAATCGCTCGGCCAGAACCTATGCTACTTATTGCATACGACAGTATTTATACCGCTGGTATTTTACCAAAAAGTACATATTTGATGGCGGCATCCCGGCACGTGCTTGACCACTGATGCCAAATACTGCCGGAGCAGTCTTGGTTCTGGGGGCGGCAGAAGTACAGCCCTCGGTACATATCCATGGGGTTCCCGGAAGCTCCGCTTTTTTAAACGCGTACAGGCGACTCCAAAATCGATTGACATTTTCAATGTTTCATGCATCAATTCATGGAATATGCACGCACGCGGATTTCGCAACTGATGAGTCATAGATGGGAATGATTTCGCCTCATCTGAACCCAAAAGAATGATGCGTATGTAGAATGCGACCAATTCTCTCTCGAACTCGGGGAGATATCTTGGCCCCCGGGGTTGTCGCGTAATGACGACTTCTCGTGCGCCTGGAGCATCAGCCACTTGCCCACCCCACGCCGCCAGAGACGGAGTCAGAGTCGTCTGCATACCCCTCGACGTGCTGAAGTGCTGGCCCAGTGCAATAGAAGCGATGCCTGTGCAATATGAAACTGCATGGACGCCGACGGCCGACCGCTGATAGGCGTATTGATCGGATCACGTCTGATCCAGCTGCCCCTTCTCACTCCTACAAGGTCCAATGCCATGCGCCATGGGTCAGAGATGAAACATTTGTCGAGCTTCTCGGTGCCGAGAACACTCCCTGGACAAAGTCTCGGCTGTCGTATCTGCCGTCAGCTGAGTGACTGAATGGAGTCGTTGGTGATGAGATGTGAACGCACGGAAATGCCTACGAATAGAACGACATAAGTGAGTTAAAAGCTCAGAATGGTCCTCTGCAATTTCCCCATCCGACTCTTACGCTGCCATGAAGTACCCGTGGGGGATCCCCGCGCTCGCTCTGCCGCTCCTAGGAAGTGTAAATGTCGCATCCGCCGCTCGTACGTCGTTAGTATCCTTCTCCAGTGCGACCGTTGCCGACCGCGCTCCAGAATGCACCATCCACACCGTCGTCTCGGGCGACACGTGCTTCTCGATCGCCAGTGCCGCGGGGCTGACGACCGCCCAGCTGCAGGGATTCAACCCGAACCTCAATTGCGCGGCGCTGTCCATAGGTGCGCCCGATGCCAGAGAGCTCTGCACGGCTCTCAAACATCGTATTCTAGGTCAGAAGATATGCATATCGTCTGGGACACCGCCCGCGCCGCCGCAACAGAATCCTGATGGCTCCTGCGCGACGGTGCGAACGGATTGTTCTGCGTAACTGTTGTTACTTGATCTTCACACGCAGTATACCACGGTTCCGAACGACTCGTGCTCCGCGATTGCGGCCATGTTTTCGATCACCACCGCCAACATCGAGACTTGGAATGCCAACACATTCCATTGGAAGGGTGCGTCGGCGCGGTTGACACGTCGGCGCAGCAGCGTCGCTGAGCATCCACAGGCTGCGCTGCGCTGCAAGTGAACTATACGATGTGTGTCTCCACTGGAACGCCTCCTCCGCCCCCGTGCGTGTCGCCGCATATCCACACTCGATTGCATAAGCTCACAACTATGGCAGCATCATTCCTGGAACGCAATGCGGGCCTCAGAGCCAGGGGAATATGAGCTGTCCGCTGAATGCCTGCTGCAGCGCCTTCGGGTTCTGTGGACTGACAGATCAGTTCTGCACCACCACCGTGCGTCCTCTCTCTCTCCTGCTTATCCCTCACATGCTAACCATACGCAAATGAAACAGGGTCCGAACCCATGTCTGCTGAACTGCGGGCAGCCGACGGTCCCCAGTTGCTCGGGGTCACAGCTGAAGCGCAAGATCGGGTACTATGCCGGCTGGGGCGACTTCCGCACGTGCGGGACGAACGTTGCGCCGGACCAGATCAACTGGTCTGGGTTTACCGGCGCGCACTACGCATTTGCGACGATATCGCAGAGTTTCCAGATCCGTGAGTCCTACTAGTTCCCGGGGTGGTTTATCTGTTTACACAGACTGTTTCTTCAGAACTTGCCAGTCGGGATACGCCCCTTCTTCAACAATTGGTCGCGCAGAAGGCGGTGTACCCGAATCTTCAAGTGATCATCGCGGTCGGGGGATGGGATTTCTCGTACGCCGTTGAAATGACTTTTTCAACTGATATGGACTGAGCTTGCTTGCAGTGAATCGCAGCCCACGCGAGACTTGTTTTCTGTGATGATCTCCACCTCCGCTAACCGCGCTACTTTTATTTCCTCGGTTCAAAGCATGCTTAGCACGTTCAAGCTGGATGGAATCGGTAAGCGAAAACAACTGGCTCGAAAGCAAACTCTCATTCTTGTGACTCGTAGACATCGATTTTGAATACCCCGGTGCTATCGAACGGTCTGCCCCTGCTACTGGCAAGTATTTCCCGGCTCCAGCTCAGTCTCAGAAGAAATAATGATGGAATGCCATGAAACCAGATACCCCTAACCTCACCTCCTTCTTCCAAGAATTACGGAAAGCGCTTCCCACGCAGATCATCTCCTGTGGTATGTGTTGACGAGCGTGGATACACCCTGGCCCCGCAATCAATTGATCACATGATCACATGTCACATGGTATGACGTAGCAAGCTGCTTGGTCTGACAAAGCAGCCACAATTGATCTGGCACGTGATGACAAGTGTCGGGCCGAAATCAAATTTCGGAGTTCATTCCCTCTTGGTGGCTCTAACACCTTTCATTTCGGCGAAATTCAGCACTGACTAAGTAGTAAATTGACATAGAGCTCAATGGTCACCATATCAACAGGAGGTTCAATTTACTTATCTCCTTCTGATTTGATTCACACTTAGTATAAAAAACCTGTAGTACAGTACAAGAAAAACAAGAAATCTTCTTCACCCACTCTCTAGAGTCTAAAGCGACCTCCCAGTGCTTTTTATCTCGCTTTCTCGGCGCCTGCTTCTGCATTATTTTCCCAACATTGCCCCCAAACCCCCATTTCGTGCTACAGACATACATATTGATCTCCCCGTCGTTCTATCGTCCTCTCGTCCTGTCCTCCGTCGTCATTATCGTCCCATCGCCCGTTCTATTGTCCCTTTGCTCCCCCTGTTGCTCACTGCTGCCCCCGCCCATTTCAGTTGAGCCTATTTCCCCGAGCCTGACCTTGTTAGGATCAGAATCCCACACACTATACTGCGCGAGCCTGAGCTGCAGCTCCCTCCCCGCGACCTCCAACTAGCCCCTCGTCTCTCCCCGTACAGCTGCGCGCTCATACGCTCCGTAGGCGTGTCATTTTGGAACCCCTGGCGGGATTTGTTCCAATTACAACATTGATTCAGGCTCTAACCGCGCCCTCCGCCCTTCTGAACCTCGAAATCTCCGTCTAGAGTTCAGGGCTATCTCCCAGAATCCTCTCAATCTCTCAGACGCAGCGCATCACACCGATTCGTCCTCAGAGGACTTATTGGTTCCTGTTCCTCACGGACTCCCTCATCACTACAACTCGGATTCACCACATTCTAACCTGCCCACCATCGACTTCCTTACCGATTCCTTGTCCTCGTCGCAGTCCTCATCACCTTCTTTCATTCTCCGTCCCATATCACCCTCCCCGTCACCTCCACCGCCTCCACCACCTCCGAACCAGAACATGGCAGCTGTTGTGCCCATGCCCGCCCGTGGTGCCCGAGGAGCACCTGAATTCGACCCATCAAAGCCCCGTGAGCTTCCTCGATTTTTCACGGACCTGGAATACCATTTCGGGCTTGCCAGCATTGCCGATGCTCAAGAACGGAAGCGCCACGCCCTGCGGTTTCTTCCTTTCGATGAGGCTGAACTTTGGGAGTCTCTAGACTCGTTTTCGGCGCCCCACAACTACGACGCATGGAAAGCTGAAGTTTTGAAGCTTTATCCCGGCACGGATTCTGACCGCAAATATGCGACTTCGGACCTCCATGCGCTCATTGGCAAATACGCCAGCTCGGGGATTCACTCACGCGCTGAATATAGCGAATTTTATCGCCTTTTCCTGGTCATCTCGAAATACCTCATATTAAAGCAACGGCTGTCTCTGGTTGAGCAGTCCCGGGCGTTTCGAACCGCCATCGCTCCTGCCTCGCTTTGGAACCGCGTGCACCAGCGGCTACAAATTAAGAAGCCTGATGTTCATCCTGAAGACCCATATGAACTCGGTGATATGAACGAAGCCGTGGAATTTGTTTTGGCTGATTCCACTGGGTCATTTTCGTTTCAGACCACGGCGCCTCCAGCTGCCTCGTCCCCGGTCACTGTCAAGTCCGAAGCTGACCCTAATTCGGCTATTCTCGGCGAAATCCTCAAGCTCCTTGTGGCGCAGAACGCTGCACGCCTAGGCCCTGCGCCCGCCGTTTCATCAACCACGCCGTTGCCTTCATACCCTGCGCCTCCACGCGACTCGAACTGCTCATATTGCAGTGAATCTGGCCATTTTATTGCGCGCTGCCCTCGTGTCGAGGATGACATACGCGCAGGCAAGTGCAAACGCAACATTGAAGGACAAGTTGTCCTACCCAGCGGCGCCTACATCCCACGCCGTATCGCGGGAGCTAATTTACGTGCTCGATTCGACGAATGGCACCGGCAGAATCCCGGACAAACAGCTGCCTCAAATTTCCAGGACATCTCGACGAATTTCCTTTCATCCAATAAACTCAGTCCTCCTGTGTCTACCTTCTCTCTCACGGATTCTGAACGTTTGGAGCAGCTAGAGCGCGAAATTTGGGCAGTCCGTACTCGACAACAAGCCCGTGCTGCGATCGAAGCCAGAGATCGATCTGGGGATCCTACCGAAGCTCCTGAACAGGCCATTCGCTCGACACCGCCCCCAGCTCGTATTCCAGCCCCTGCTGTTGCTACGCCGGCCCGTGCTCCGGTTTCAGCTCCGGCCCCTGCGCCTGCTATTTCTCCGACCAACGCTGTGCCCGAGCATCCGTATGCCCGTGCAAGAGACGCCGCTTATGCGCCACCACAAGACCGCAATTTTGGCGCACGAGTTCCGGCCCCAGTAGCCAAGAAAAACGAACCGGCCTATCGTTCCTCAGCCCCGGTTTACGACGAGAAACACGCCGACGCTGTATTTGGACGCATAATGGACACAAAAATCGAGAACTCAGTCCAGGAGTTGATGTCTATTTCCCCCGAGGTGCGCTCCCGCATGCGTGATGCTACCAGTAGCCGTCGAGTTGCTCCGGCTGCTGATGGTAAAACCGCGGCCCCGCCAGTCTCAACGAACGTTTATGAGCAATATACCGTTGATCCCCTGCCACCAGACGCTTACATCGAGACCCTGGACGAGCAGAAGCGTAGTGATGCACGAAACGCTGCGTTCTTCGACTCAATGCCTGCTGGATACATGAATTCGGCCCTTCCACCTGGCGCCATCATCATTCCGGACTATTACGAAACACTGGTTCATTCCGGCGCGTCTATTGACGACCTGGTTGTTTCCCTGGAGTCCTCGGCCATTCGATCTGTCCTTCCCGTGGTTGACAATCGGCTCAGGGTTGAATCCATCATTGACGGCGGTTCTCAAATCATCGCAATGTCTGAGGCGGTCTGCCACCAGCTTGGCTCGTCCTACGACCCCACGGTTGTTCTCCGAATGCAGTCAGCAAATGGATCGATCTCCCCCTCTCTTGGTCTTGCACGGAACGTTCCTTTCGCGTTCGGGGATATCACCCTCTACTTGCAGGTTCATGTTGTACGAAATCCTGCTTACGACATCCTCCTGGGACGTCCCTTCGATGTCCTGACGGAAAGCATCATCCGAAATTATGCCGACGAGAACCAGACAATCACCATTCGAGATCCAAACACCGGCAAGATCACCACAATTGCTACTGTTCCCCGTGGCTCTTGTCCCCGGATCCAGGATTTTCCCCACTCGAGGATTTGATCCCAGATCAAGGAGAGGCCGCTTTCATCATCGTACCTGACCTACAAGACCCCCAAAAATTGATTCTCGAAGCCTCTGTTTCACTCCCTGATAATTATTCGTCTGCTGACCTCAATATTCTTTATCTTACAGGTTGTGATAATTCGGACCAATATTCGGAAAAATTGCGGTATGCATACTCAAACGCACAACCGTTATCTACTGCGGGGTCCAAGTCCCCACCGGGGGATTCAACTCCCCCGTTCATTTTGCCATTCGCATCGCCATCTGTCTTCACTTCATACGACGTGTCTGTCCCCCTCTACAACCAATCCACATCTGCTTCCAATCCTTATGCCTCCTCTCACGTCGATGTGTTTGCCAAGAAACAATACAAACCAGTAGCGCAAAAAGTGCGCCCTGTACTTGGTACTCTACCCAAGCACTTCCGAATTGTCCGTGAAATGCGGGGTGATCCACTTGCAGCCCTTCCTACCCTCGACCCCCATCCACCTCCGTTTGTTCCGACTGGCCGCTACACCTCCGAACGCCACAATATCATCGATGCCCTTCATCCCGGGGACTTCCTGTGGCCCGAAGAACGACGATTAATGCACCATTTCATGTGTCTGCACAATGACGGCTTTGCTTGGACAGATATTGAGCGAGGAAAATTCCGTACCGACTTCTTCCATCCCGTGGTCATGCCGGTGATCCCACACAAACCATGGGTCCAGCGCAACATTCCCGTTCCACCAGGCATCTACAATGAAGTGTGTGAACTGATACGCCGCAAGATGGCAGCTGGCGTCTACGAACCGTCAAATTCCTCATACCGGTCGCGCTGGTTCTGCGTGGTAAAGAAGGACGGCAGCAGCCTCCGTCTTGTCCACAGTCTCGAGCCGCTAAACGCTGTCACCATTCAGCACTCGGGTGTTCCACCACTCACCGACCAAGTTGCGGAGCAGTTCGCAGGCCGTGCATGTGGCGGCATCCTTGATCTCTACGTCGGATATGATGAGCGCGTGCTCGATGAATCCTCCCGTGACTTCACCACGTTCCAGTCACCTTTTGGCGCCCTGCGACTCACCAGTTTACCTATGGGATGGTCAAACTCGGTCCCAATCTTCCACGACGACGTTACCTTCATCCTTCAGCCCGAAATCCCTCACTTCACCATTCCCTATATCGACGACACCCCAGTCCGTGGACCAGCAACCCGTTACGAGCTCCCCGGCGGCGGTTACGAGGTGATCCCAAGCAATCCCGGGATTCGACGGTTTGTCTGGGAGCACTTCCAGACGCTCAATAGGATTGTACAACGGATGAAATACTGCGGAGGTACCTTCTCTGGGCCCAAGGCCATTCTATGCGCCGAAACAATCACGGTCCTCGGCCACGTCTGCACGTACGAAGGGCGCATCCCTGACCCCTCCCGCGTCGAGAAGATAGCCAGTTGGGGACCGTGCCGTGATCTGTCCGAAGTCCGCGCTTTCCTTGGCACGGTTGGCGTGGTGCGAATGTTCATCCGTGATTTTGCACGCCGGGCAAGCCCTCTCGTATCGCTGACCCGAAAAGACGTCCCATTTGTCTTTGGCAACGAACAGGTCAGAGCTCAAGACGATCTGAAAGCAGCCCTACTGAACTCACCGGCGCTCCGTCCTCTCGACTACACGTCCCTGGCCCCAGTGATCCTCTCAGTCGATACGTCCTACATCGCCGTTGGCTCGACCCTTGCGCAGTGTGATCCAAAGAATCTAGCTCGACGGTTCTACGCACGCTTTGGATCCATCACGCTAAACGAGCGTGAATCACGGTTTTCGCAGCCCAAGCTCGAGCTGTATGGTTTGTTTCGAGCCCTTCGAGCATGGAAGATGCACTTAATTGGTTTGCGCAACCTTGTGGTTGAAGTGGACGCACGGTACATCAAAGGAATGCTGGCGAACCCAGATTTAGCGCCCAACGCAGCAATCAACAGGTGGATTTTGAGCATACTCACCTTCCATTTCGAGCTCGTTCATGTCCCGGGCATCTCTCACCGTCCCGATGGTCTTTCTCGGCGGCCCCCACAGCCTGGCGATACAGCAGAACAAGACGACGATTTCGACGACTGGATTGATCAGCTTCATGGGTTTGTGCATATGATCAATGACGCACCGTATCCCCAGACTGGATCTCAACGACAAGTGGCTACTCTGCTCAACGAGACACCCTTGGACGTACCAGAGAGTGTCGTTGACGCTCCAACGCCCCCTCTGTCTTACACGGACGTCCCTCGATCATCAGCAGATCTGCTTGCGGATCACCGAGTCGACTTGGTCCAAGCCTGGCATGGAAACTTGCAGCGTCCACGCGACATGTCCGACGCCGAATACAAGACATTTGTGCGCTATTGCATGGAGTTCTTCATCAGCGACGGCGCACTATGGCGGAAAGACTCACATGGACGACATAAACTGGTTGTGCCCCCTGCACGTCGAATCTTCATTATGCGATCTGCGCACGATGACACAGGCCACAAAGGCTTCTTTGCGACGCGTGCGCTAATCTTCGAGCGGTTCTGGTGGCCACATCTCTCGAGTGACGTGGTGTGGTACGTTCGCACCTGTGATCTGTGTCAGCAACGGCAAACGCGCAGGATCCACATACCGCCCGTAGTCGCAACCCCGGCCCCAATCTTCGCGAAAATGTACATGGATACGATGCACTTACCAACCAGCGGAGGCTTCAAGTATGTTGTCCAAGGGCGTTGTTCGTTGACCCACTACCCCGAATGGCGCATGCTTCGACAAGAAAACGCGGTGGCGATCGCAACGTGGATCTTCCAGGACATCTTGTGTCGCTGGGGGACATTAGTCGAGATTGTGACGGACAACGGGACACCGTTCGTGAAAGCGCTCACTCACCTTGAGAGACAATACAACGTCCGGCACATTCGAATTTCCGGTTACAATTCACAGGCAAACCTGGCGGAACGCCCACATTTCGACGTCCGGGAGTCCCTCTTCAAAGCCGCGGACGGAATCCAGTCCAAATGGCACTCAACAGCCCACTCAGTCTTCTGGGCAGATCGAGTGACTGTGCGTCGACGTATGGGATGCTCACCGTTCTTTGCCGTCACCGGCGCGCACCCGTTGCTTCCACTCGACATCTCCGAAGCGACCTACCTGCTCCCGGCCCCCGCATCCGTCCTTTCGTCCACGGAGCTCATCTCACACCGTGCCATCGCCCTGCAGAAGCGCCGGGAACAAATGGTGTTCCTCCATTCCGCCGTCCTCGAGGCCCGCGTGCAAGCAGCAATCCGTTTTGAGCAAGAGCACGCCCACACAATCCGCGACTACGATTTTCAGCGCGGCGACCTGGTCTTGATGAGAAATACGGCGATCGAGAAGTCCCTAAGCAGGAAAATGCGCAAGCGCTACCTGGGACCGCTGATAGTCGTCTCAAGGAATCGGGGAGGCGCTTACATCGTCTGTGAGCTTGACGGCTCAGTTTTCCACCGGCCTATTGCCGCATTTCGCGTCATACCTTATTTTGCGCGCCGCGCTATCCCCCTGCCCCCACTCGAAGATCTGCTCGACATTTCGACGGAACGTTTGCGTGAGCTCGAGGAATCGCTCCTGGCGGACCCAGAAGAGATCGACAGAGAATCAGGGCCTCAGAGCGATTTTGGCACCGCTGAAGCAGAGCTCTAGCAGCCCAATTGCTGATAGCACAGTCCGCACAACGCACCTGGTTTGATCGACCCCAAAATCCAATAATCCCCCTCATTTCAGCCTGATTTCGATTCGACGACTGACTGGGGACAGTCAGATTTTCAGTTGGAGGGAGATGACGAGCGTGGATACACCCTGGCCCCGCAATCAATTGATCACATGATCACATGTCACATGGTATGACGTAGCAAGCTGCTTGGTCTGACAAAGCAGCCACAATTGATCTGGCACGTGATGACAAGTGTCGGGCCGAAATCAAATTTCGGAGTTCATTCCCTCTTGGTGGCTCTAACACCTTTCATTTCGGCGAAATTCAGCACTGACTAAGTAGTAAATTGACATAGAGCTCAATGGTCACCATATCAACAGGAGGTTCAATTTACTTATCTCCTTCTGATTTGATTCACACTTAGTATAAAAAACCTGTAGTACAGTACAAGAAAAACAAGAAATCTTCTTCACCCACTCTCTAGAGTCTAAAGCGACCTCCCAGTGCTTTTTATCTCGCTTTCTCGGCGCCTGCTTCTGCATTATTTTCCCAACATTGCCCCCAAACCCCCATTTCGTGCTACAGACATACATATTGATCTCCCCGTCGTTCTATCGTCCTCTCGTCCTGTCCTCCGTCGTCATTATCGTCCCATCGCCCGTTCTATTGTCCCTTTGCTCCCCCTGTTGCTCACTGCTGCCCCCGCCCATTTCAGTTGAGCCTATTTCCCCGAGCCTGACCTTGTTAGGATCAGAATCCCACACACTATACTGCGCGAGCCTGAGCTGCAGCTCCCTCCCCGCGACCTCCAACTAGCCCCTCGTCTCTCCCCGTACAGCTGCGCGCTCATACGCTCCGTAGGCGTGTCAGTGTATGAGCTCAAGATCGGGATCCCGATTCCAACTTCTCCCCGCCAGCCACACCTGCCGGCTTCTGGTTCTTGAAAGGGTTCGAGATCGACAAGATTGCCAAGAGCGTCAGCTACCTCAACATGATGTGTCAGTCCTCTCGCATTTTGTCAGGTCGGTCTCGTCATTGAACAATCGCAGCCTACGACTACCACGGGCCGTGGGACACCAATGTGACGGATCAGGCACCCGTATCGAATCCGCAGACATCGATCCTGGACATGAAGGACAGCGTTTCGCTATACCTCCGCGCCGGAATCGACCTCGGCGTCGGTGAGAGCGTCTCCTAGCCTCAACTTCCTTCCGTTCATTTGTCTCACGCGAACGCCAGTGAACCTTGGACTGGCGTACTACGGCCGCAGCTACAACCTCGCCGATCCGAACTGCAAGGGCTACAACTGTACCATGACTGGCGGCGGGTTCCCGGGCCCATGCACGGCGACGCCGGGCATCCTCTCCCAGTTCGAGATCGATGATCTGATCGGAACGGGGATCGTGCCCACCCTGGACTCGTCGACGCAGACGTACTGGTTCGACGATAAGGTGCGTCCCGTCGTCACTGCTGAGGCGGATCCTAATTCAACTCACTTTCACGTAGGGGTCTTTGATTACGTTCGATCAGGCAGATACCTTTGCGTAAGCATCATATGTCAGCTGCAGGACGCGTTGTGCTCATGACGTCACAGGAAGAAGATCACGTTCGCTGGCAACACGTGCTTTGGAGGAACTTTCATCTGGTCGCTTGACCAGGTCTTGTCGAATCCGGGCGCTGGAGGCGGAGAAGCTGGCAGCACGGGTGGGTCTGGAAGCGGCTCGGGCTCGGGCTCTGGGGCGGGATTGTGGACAACTATCCAATGGAGTGAGCACACACAGCTCACTCACCATGGCTGGGTACTCACTGATTAACACCAGATCCCAATCCGTTCCCGTCCCCCGGAGCCCGCTCCGAAACATTCGTTCAATCCGCGGGCGTGCAAACCTCGACTGTCACTTCCGTCGTCTCCCGCAGCACCTTCACCACTTCGAGAACGATCGTCATCCCCGCGTTTACGACCACGAGTACCATCTTCACCGCCATCTCCGGCACGCTGCGCACGATCACGAGCACATCCGTCGTGGCAGCCTCGACCTCGACCGCGACGATCACCGCTACCACGGGCTCTACGGTGACCTCGCTGTCGGTGGTAACGAAGACGCTGACGACCGTGATCGTGCCGGTCCCGACGGTGACCAGCACGGTCACCGTGGAGGGCGTCCCGATCACTCTGAACTCGGGCGGAACACCTATCAACTCGCCCGTGCCAACAGGCATCTCACAGCCGAGCGCGATCACGCCGACATTCAGTGCGTACTGTACCCGCCTGCCTTTGCCTTTGCTATTCTGCATGCCCCATCGCTGACCGGTTGCAGCAAACAACATCTCGCCCACCCCGAACGCGACGGTCATCGTGTACACTGCACCGCTGACGTCCACCCCGACCTGGTCCTCGACGATCACCATCCCACCGAAGAGCACCTCCCCGCCCGTGGTCGTCACCGGGCCGCCGGGCGACCGCTCGCGCCCCGGTTGCGGCGGCGGGAACGGCATCTGGTCCATCCTATTCGGCGGCATTATCAGCGGCTGCCCACCCGCGGACGTCGGCATCATCGGCGGTATCACGCCCGTGGTCCTCCCGCCGCCGAACTGGGTCGGGCCGTGGACGAATCCATTCAGCATCCCGACGCCGAACAGCAACCCCGAGAACACGCAGTCGACGAGCACCACGAGTACGACTTCGAGCTCGAGCTCGACGTCGAATGCGGCGTGCCCTACGAGAACGGCGGGCTATAGTTTGCCGGACGACCCGGCGAATGCGGATTGGTCGGGGCTGGGTCGGACCCGGATGCGCGGCGGAGGGCGGTGCAGGCGCGGCATCCTCAGCGGGCTAAGAAGAGCGCGGCGGTGCCGGTTGTTGAAGAGCGAGTGGAGAGGAATCAATCTGAGATCCTGCGCAGGGCTGGTCGAAGTGCGTGGCACAGATCCCCTGGTTAGTCCTTCATTTTGCTGATGGCACTCGCACAGCGGCCAACATCCCGCCTTGCCATATCACGCTCACTTCTCCGAACTCGGTCAATCTGGGCGCCGGCCGGTATCTCTTCGTTCAGCTCGACGCAGGGGGTTACACGAGCACCAATTTGCTCTCAACGAATGTGAACGCCAAGCCGAACAATCCGCTTCAAGCGCCGTCGACCAACCGTCAGTTTTCTCAATCTTCCGCGTGCATCAGCCTCTAACATTCTACTCTCGCACAGAGGAGCACGTGTTTGAGTGCGACCGACGTTTCTTTTGTGCCATCCTTACTTGGTGCTAATGGATGTGATTCAGGATTGGGTATATCAGTCAATTCTTCAGCGCCCTGGCCAATTCCGGAGGAGGGGGGAATGTTGGTGCCAACTGTGCATGGCACGTGCTTTTTATGCAACCCGTCTCTTGGACTGACTCACACCGCACAGGATTACTAACGACGTGATAAACTACGTCCGTGTGGGTGGTGGAATGCTTGGGCCAGCCATCCTCGCGGCCATAGATAACGTGCGTGGCAGGTCGACTATCCACTCTCTGCTGACTTTTGTAGACCGCTAACATGGTTTGGGTCGATAAACCGTTGAATCAAGGTATGTAGCTATTCAGCAATTTGATTGGCATATAGCTGACCGGGATGCTTTAGCGAAATCCAACGTTGTAAACAATAACATGGCGACCGCGGCAAATCCACCACAGGCAGGAAGCGTTGCAGCGATCATCAACTTCCAGGACAGTGCGGGGGATATATACGACGTCGAAACCTTCCTGCGCAACTTCGCCGCCCTCGGAGACTGTAAGCCCAGCCCTGCGGTGAAGAATCTCCTACTGAAAGTACTCAGATTTCGCGCAGACTAGCGGCATCTTCAGCGCCACGGCGGCTCAATTCCAGCAATTACTCAGCGAGGTGACGCCTAGTGTGGTGATCGACAACAGCAACAGTCTGCCAGTCCTCTTCCGGAACTGGCTGACCAGCGTCATCTCCGCTTATCCCAACGGCTGCACGTAAGCCTCGGTCTTGCTGATTCCAACCGAAACACTCCGTGTCTGATCGGCATATACTATAGGTCACGCGCGGTGAATGGGTGGAACTTTTATCGCGCGGAGATGCAATCTGTGGCGGCGCTGACGAACAATGGTGTCGTGCCGAACTGTTTCCCTTTGTACACATCGAATCAGGTGCGCAATTGTGGGATCTCATCCTGTCTCTCTACTTAAGAACCTCCAGTATAACCCATCGAGCTTCAACTACCTGGTATGCTCACTACGTGCTGTAACCTACGGGTTAAAGACTGATGTTCGATAGAACTTGCTGCCCGCTGCGCCTCGATTGCCCTCCTGCAACGTTCCCGGTACGCTGGGTAACGTTGGATACCGTGGCGGAGGAACGACGGTCACTTCTATTCCATTCAACATCTCCCCGCAGCGCATCATGGGTGCTGGAAATCTGGTGAGTCTGCCGTACCCATCGCGATAGCACATCTCAATGACCGTCCCACAGAACTTCTACGCGGTGGGCTCCGGCACCTCTCTCACGGACACGCACTACTTCGCGATCGACGCCTCCTCCATCGGCGGCCAGTGCACCAACGTCGTCGCGATGCTCGACACGCTCCCCGGCACGCAAGGCTCGCTTGGTACCGCCAACATTGACCTGCAGTGCGGCACGGCCACGGGCAAACAGCGTGTCGACTTCAACTTCGTGCTGAACGGCCAGACGCTTGGGTGCGCGGCGCTCGTTGCGGGGCACCCCGGTGGCACGACGACGTCGGTGTTCTGTGCGGCGAACCAGGGCGCGGCGTTGGCGTGTGCGGGGCAGGGCGCGTTTCCGATACAGATGATGTGGTTCCCGAATTGAGGGTCCGGCGTTGATAAGAATGATTAATAGCCTGATATGTTGTGTCTCCGCGAATGTTATATATATGTATGATACAACGAATTGAACTTCACTGCAACGATGAGCTGGCTTCTTTTCAACTCTGAAGGTGCATTTTCTAGATGATTCTGCGATATGTTGGAAATGCTACGGGGGGAAGGTGCGGGAACATCCCTCCTCCCTCGGTGATGTGACATGCCAACTCCTCGGTGATTTTCGGCATCCCTCAAGGTGTGTAATCGCGTCAGTCAAACTCAACATGAAGAGCGAGAAAATCGGGGAAAAATATCTGGAGGCTGCAAAATTACATAAATGCTTGAGTTTTCTATTTTTAAAAAGATCTCTATTGTAGTAAAATCAAATGCTTGTCGAGTGTCAAAACTGCAGTAGCGGCAGCGTAGTATTTCAGTTGTTTAGCAATAGCTGAAGTCTATCCCTCTCTCCGCGCCAAACCATCCGCGAGAGATCCAGCGGATGTCTGAAAAGAAGTGGAGATGCTGCTGGTGGTCTGAAGCATTCATTGAGCTGTTGGCTTATCAATCTGACGGGGGGCCGGAATCATCACTGAAAGCTCGAGTGTTCGTTCACCACGGTCTCAGCATGGGGCTGTTCTCGTCTTCTCAGAGTTCTAGTTCGGACGAAATATAGCTGTCACATTGGTGATGGGTTTCATTATCATGCGCTTCGTTGCAACGATCCGCGCTGCCAGGTATTACATACAGACATCGGGTTCTCTTCTTACAGTACTGTTTCTCACGCACACCGTTAAATCTCTGTGGCGCGCATCGCAGCGACGGTCTTATCGGAGCGAGGCCGCATCGTGCAGTTGAACGGCAGCGGGGTTCTGTCACACGTCAGGTCTTTCCGAGAACAGAACTCCTGGGAGCGGACGACGCACGAGACGAGGCCCCAGAACCAGCCGTACTGCGGCTCTGCTTCCTGCGTTTCTTCGATCCTGACGAAGTCGAACATGGACAGCAGGGATCCGATCGTGAGCCAGAGCGAGGACGACGCCATGTATCGGCCCGGGCAGATCCTGTGTTATTCATGCCTGCTGAGTAGTGTCGGGTGACCATGGGTCCGAGGAGAGACCTGCCTTCTCCCGTAGCCATAGATGAACGCCTCGGGGTCGCGGACGTCCTTGTTGAGCTTGCCGTTGAGTAAGAACCGCTCAGGTTTGAATGCGTCTGGGTCTGGGTACACTTCCTGTTTTTGATCATGAGCCTGAGACACTTGTGTGGATCCACTCGAACCTCGTCGTGTAAAATCGCCCTGGATTCCGAGTCAAGACTCTGGCGATGATCAGAGGAGCAGAAGGACGAACCAGGTGTTTCCTATGACCACGGAGCCCTTGGGGATCCGATATCCCCTGTATTCGTCCTCTGTCTCACTCTGATGGGGAATCGCCACGGCTGTGACATTGCGCCACCTGAGGACCTCCTTGATCAAGGCCGCAAGGTACGGCATGCGCTCCTCGGCGTCTTCGCCAAAGTCCGGCAAATTCCCGTGTCCCCAGACGCCGTCAATCTCTTGCTGCGCAGCGCGTTGGACGTCCGGATACAACAGCATCGCGACGACGAACGTGCCGAGCGCCGAGACGATCGTGTCCGCGCCGCCGACGTACATCGCGGCCGCGGTGTACTTGACGACTTCCTCGTGCGCGATCTTGGCGTTTGGCGACAGACTAGAAGACGGATCCTCGAGCGTGCGCAGGTGAAGCGAAGAGTAGGACGCGGAGGCCGTGCCCGCGGACTGATCGGTGAGGTGCGGTCAGAACTACTGAGGATCGCTTCCCAAGGGAAAAGAACGCGACAGACCATCATGCGCTTCGTCTCATTGAAGGGCGTTTCCACGGCAGCCATGGTGGCTTTGCACCACCTCTGCGCCTGGCGTTTGAAGCCGGCGCCGGGGACCCACCTCGGGATATACTTGAGCGGTGGGATAATGTCCTGCCGGAAAATTCTCATCTGAGCGATTGGATAGGATGGGATGATGTCGGGTACGCACGACGAGAAACGCTCCGGCAACACTGGCAACCGCCAGCCCATGCATTGCTTCCGCGGCGATGGACACGTACGGATCGTCGGAAGTGCGAACCTTGATGCCGTATGTGACATCCATGATGATTTCTGCGGCGAATCTACCAGTATATTTAGATGCCACGCCTTGATAAGCAGCAGCAGGACAGTGCCCGGACACTCACAGCCGAAACTGCTCGATAACGTCGCCGCTGGGCTGCGCGAGGATCCGGCGTAGCAGATTGTGCACGCCCGTGCGCTGCTGGGAATGGAACTGCTTCACCGCTTCGGGATTGAATGCCTGCATGAAAGCTTTGCGGTGGCTCCGCCTGTGAACGCGGTGTCTGAGTCATCGAATCAGGGCGCGCCAGAGTCTCCGCGCACCATCTTGCTCCGTAAGGCAGGAATCCGACAAAGCCACCCCAGCCCATGAGCTCGTTCATCATCGGTGCTTGGACCCTCCATCGGGAGTCAGTTGTGGTTCAAGGCCCATGATCCGGCTGCTCACCGACTGGAATAGACGGCCGAGCGCTTCTCAAACAGTTCCTTCACCGCCTCGGCTGATGACAGGACGACAAACGACGTCCCCAGGGCCGATAAATGTATGATGTCAGAATCTTATACGATCCAGTAAGCATCTATAAAGTTCCAGGCACGCAATCGAACAGCCCGGTACCGTATTCCTTGCTCCATTTTGAGAAGGTCAGCCACTGCTGATCAGTCGGCAGGTCCAGCAGGTTGCCAATGAGCGGCTTCTTTGGCGGGCCGGGGGGCAGAGGGAGGGAGCGTCGTCTGGAGCGATAGCGAAACGCGGAGTAGAGCGTGCAAGCGAGCAGGAAGGCAAGAGAGTTGAAGATCGTGAGGACCATTGTTATCTTGGGTAGGAGGGGAGGTGTAGATGGGTGGACTGGCCGTAATCCAGAATCGGGGGAGTTTAAGAAGGGAGACTAGGTGCCACATTCCAGACATATCTGTGGCGAGAGATGCGGCGGGGCCCGTGACGACGCAATAGCATTACGGAAACGCACGATCCCAGATGTGGACTAGTATTCCCGACCGGGTCTTAGATAGCATCGAATGGACAGTGAGCGATGTGCACTCCTGGGTAATCAGCCTGCAGACATCTCGATAGGGATCGAACTTCTGCAAACCCTCTCCAAGTTGGGCCCCCGAGCCCGCGGAGATGAGTTGTCAGAGAATATATATTCACGCGATCATCACGGTGGTGCGGCTATGTGTGACGTTAGCAGAGACTCGTGAAGTGGTTGGCTCGTCTCAATTCTAATCCCGGTGTATGTTTATGTCGAAAGCTAATCCCAAGGGAGAAAAATGCTCACTGATTGATTAGGTTGCGGCGCAAAATGGGGTCCGAGAAGAGGCCGGTCGGCCGGGTAGACATCTATATTTGGTTGTGCTCGAGATAGTGACAGAGATGCAAGTCGAGCGTTTGGAATAACTGGTTTTCCGCTATGATGAGAGAAGAATGGTAGTACACGCAAGCACAGCCACCGAAATCATGAGCGCGCTTCTGGCCGGAACCGGGCCACAGCTGCCGACTACCGAACGGGGTTATCTTAGGAGCCGGAGGCTTGCCGAAATGATGCCATATATGTAAGTAACTCCTTAGACCGGCGCCGCGCCTGTCCTGCAATCAAATATGAGATGCACAGTCACGTGTGCTGTCCATATCTCAACTTGGTCCGACGAGACCGACCATGATTGGAATCGGCATCTGTGCATTGCAACTGTCGAGGATTGGGCGGACCAACTTCCGAGCACCAGTGCGAGAGGCGGCGCACAGCCGACGGACCTTCGCACCCCCGTTTCCGTGCCAAGCTGCTGCTGCGGAGAGGCTCCAAAACACTGCCCGTTTGCTGTGTCGATGTCGTATCTCCCGGGGCGCCGCCACGGACACGAGCTGATTTCCAATGTTCACGTCTTTGCTCTGTGATGAAGGGAGCACTGCGCCGGATAACCATCTGCTGCGCGTGCGAGTCCCGCGCCATTTCTGGCTACCACGGCTGACACACGTGGCTTTGGTTCTCCTCTTGCAGAGTGTTTCAGGACAGCAGCCCGTGGCTGGGCGTCGCGAGACCCGTTTTCAGTGCGTTTCGTGGCCGGTTTATGACGTGACAGCCACAGGGTGATCTCGAGGCTGGTCGACGAGAGATATATCAGCAACCCGATCAGGCATCATCGCATGGATGTGCGTTTCATCGATCCCCTTTGAGCCGGGCACTGACTTCAAATAGTCGGGTGCTCCCTGCGCGTGCTCGCATCTCGATCTTTCTCCGACTTTTCCTCCCTTCCGGCTCGGGTCGCTGGGCGGTTCAGCTGGCTGGATGTTTCCTGCTTGTTGAATTCTTCAAAGCTCGTTTGTTTGAGAGTGAGAACGGAGGAGGATGGATGTCGGGGCTGGATATTCTTTGCCGGTGTGTCTCTGCCAGCGGACGTGATTACCCCGGACGCGATCAACTAAACTTTGTCGTGCATCAGACTGCAGTAATTTCTTTGATACGAAGCCCTCCACGCCGCCACAAACCTCGCTCGCACCACCATCCGTACCTGCGCTCCACTTCCGACGACCCCCAAAACTGCAAAGCCTACCCCTCGAGCGAACGGATGCCAGCAGACGGGAACGACATGACCCCTCGGCAAAGATTGCGCACTGCGGGGCCAGCTCGGCCCTCACTCCGGCCACTAACGAACTCCCTCCGCCGTTCGGACATCCTGCCCCCCTTGTCCATAGAACTGAATTCCACGAATGCGTCCCAGACCCCAATCTTCTCGCCCTCGCCGCTCACCGCCATCTCGACGATCTCGACTGCCTCGTTCTTCTCCGCGCGCAGCGACTTGGACGACGATCTGGACTCGGAATTCCCCAGCCTCAATCCGACGAGCCCGGATGAAGAAACTGCACCCGACGCAGCGATCCGGTCGCCAGTGGCGCACTGTCTCTCACCGTACACATCCGCCCACCCCTCGCTCTCGGCTCTCACGCCGCACCTGGCCGTCGGCGACCTCGCGTTCGCAGAGAATCCCGCGCTGCTGCTGAGTGCGGGGATCACACATGTTATCAGCGTGTTTGGGGGTCGAGGTGAGCGCGTGTCCTTCATACATCTCATCCCATCGTCTGTCCTCCCCACCGGCGGGCCGGGCCGGGGCCGGGGCCGACACGATGGCAGTGACAAGTGACAGCCATGTTGACACCCACACGCAGTTCACATTCCCACTGAAGTCATCCCGCCTGCGAACCATCTCCACGTGTCGCTCGAGGACACGCCGTTTGCCGAACTGGTGGGTGCCATGCGCCCGGTCGTCGACTGGGTCACGCAGATCCTGCTCCAGGGCGGGGTCCTGCCGCACACCGAAGGCGCCGGCGCAGCAGTCCCGGTGCGGATTCTCATACATTGCGCGCACGGGATATCCCGCAGCCCGGCCGTCGGGGCGGCCCTGCTCGTGGCGCTCCCGCTCATCGAAAGTGTGGGCCCGCAGCCGATGGGTGACAGCTCTGCACGGACAACACCGGACATAGAGGAGCAATATCAATTCCAAAGACCGATTCGGCAACTGCTCGCGCGGGCGGGATCGTCGCCGGACAACGGCCAGCAGTCGCGTCCACCTCGCCGAAATGTGCCCCGTACGATGTCCGCGCCGAATGCGCTTGCCTATGTCGAAGCGTGCCGTCCCTCGGCAAATGTCAACTGGGGTTTCCGGGCGCAGCTGACCGAATGGGAAATGCTGTGTCGCGATAAAGGGTGATTAATAACTTTCTGAGAAGTTTTTATGTAGTATTATCGGACCCTCTTCCTTTCGTAGGGCGTATATAAGTCACAGTGTCGTCTGCGGGGACTGTATTTTGTAAATAAGCATGTATCACTTGTTTTTCAGAATTGTTGCGAAATAATAGAGATCGATTGAATCAGTCTCTTGGCGTCGAATCACTTCCTTGAACTAATTGCATCTCGCTGCTGAAGAAGCTGTGGTCTGACTGGACGCATCCTTTTCAGCCGAACACCTTGTAAGGATTTGATCATCCACGCACAGGGAGTTCTGACCTCGCTACATAATTCTCAAACAGGTTCTGTTTCATCTAGCCGAAATACATGTGCAATAAGAGCCTTTACATCTTGTATACGAGCGGAGATGAAACGACCAGAGGACAGGGGACTAATCAAATGAAATTGGTATCCTATGCACGGACTCATTTGATCCCATTTCCTGAAACTGTAGCGAACTGATGACTTTTCTGCCACAGCCACACAACGAGGTGCGGGACGAAGACTGATGTATCTGCAGGAAACAAGGCGCAGAAGAGAATCTATCAATGAAACTCATAATCCGTTGTCAAGTGTCATCCGCGCGGAGAGAGAGAGGTGGAGATGGTGTCAAAGTACATTCTGATGCAGACAGGAGGGCATGAGCACGTGATATTCAACAAGGTCAGAAGTGACATGTAACACTCTTGTTTCGGCTTGTTCATGTTCCTCTCTCAACCCGAAACTGCTTACGATGCTCTGGATCTCCCCCGAATTTCATTCTTGACATTTGTGACCCTCTTCTGGCTGGCTAGACGCAATCATCGTTGATCACTCGAGATCAGATTGCAGTAATTCCCTGTCAATCTGCGCATCCCGCCCAACCGTTTCTTCTTGTCCCCTAGGCTTTTACGTCTGCCATCCGTTTCATACCGCACCAGACGGCACTAGTACATAATGGCTGCCGTCACCTGACGCTAAAAGCACGGAATCGAATCGTGCCATCCTGGTAAGTACTTAGTCTTTCCCTGCCATTGCGCTTACATACAGTGCTCGGTTCCCTCCCATCTGCCCTCTCTTCTCTCTTCCCACCTCCATCTCCAGTGCCTATCTCTATGCTCGCCCTGCTCTCTCTTCTTCCGCTGTTGCCGCTCCTTGCGTCCGCCCAGACGACCGGCCCGACGATTAACACGCCTGTGGCGGGCGGCAAACCAGGCGCAGCGCAGTGCGAGCCGCTTCTGATACAGTGGACTGGTGGTGCCCGTCAGTGGTTCCTTCTTTTCCCCGTGCTACTCAGGGTGTGCTGAGCTACTTCTGATCTAGCGCCGTATTTTATGGTATGTCTTCTCTTCCCCTCTCCGTGTCAAGGCCCTTTTGGCTCATTCTTATCCCCAGAAGTGAGTGTTTGGCGACCGCTGCATAGCTTGGAGAGCAGATTCTGAGGAACTTGTGCAGTGTTGAAAATACTGACACTGCCTCGACTGTCGTGTCGTTTAACAACGTGAACGCCCTGCAAGAAACCTGGATGGTGAATGTTCCAACGGGTGATTCCTTCTTGGTTTCTGTGCGTGTTTGCCGCTGACTATCTTCGCCGCAGGCACCAATCTTCTTCTTACCGTAAAAGACTCGAGCGGGACGACGGGGTCGAGTGCGCCGTTCCAGGTTGTTCCAGGAGGTGCGTCAATCCGTATTTGGCGGCATACCGTGAGATGACGGAGATGACCGCAGCGGGAGATTCTTGCCTGACGTCCAGTGGACCGCCCACAACGCGTGCGCAGTTTTTCCTTACTCCGCCCTCGGACCCTTGGCTGACAACTTCTTCGTACCAGCCGCATCGGCCCCAGCGTCGTCATCCTCGACCGCCGCTTCGTCGGCTGGATCCGCTCCCAGCTCCAACACTGGCACTGGGTCCGCCACCACACAAGCGGCCGGTACCACCGCCGCCCCTCCCGTAGCGTCGACGGCCCAGCACACTTCCACAGGGTGAGCTCGACCCGTGCCTGCTGTCTGATTTGGCACTCATTTTGGGACTACTCAGATCCGCGGCCAGCGCCTCTGCCCGTCCCTCGCAGACCGGTGGAGCCGAAAAGACTGTTCGTGCGGATGTGGTTGTCGGTATCTACGCAGCTGTTGCTATGGCTGGATACGTGTTCTTTTGAATCGGTTCTTGATATCTCCTACTACCTACATGATATCATGCATTACTGGTCGTATTGATTGCTCGCAATGAGATCTTGTTTCCTCTGCGCACACCCGAGGTACACGCATATCCGCAACGAGGGAACTCACACATAGGATTACAAACCGGCCAAAATGTCCGCATCTTTGTACACGACCGCCAGATCCGCCAGATCTTTGCGCAGGATCTTCGTGAGGTGCTGGAGCCCGGCCTGCTGCTCAGAAAGCACCATCGCGATCCGTGCCAGCCCGTCCTCGTCAACGACCTTCCACTCGGCACCTCCGGCCTGATTCCGACCCGCCGCAGCGCCCAAGGCACCGACCAGGGCCCACAGCTCGCCCAGTTTCCCGCGTAGTCTGCCAGACCCGTTCCCCTTCCCGTTCGCAGCCCCCAGTCCCAGCTCGTCTCGGAGCTCGTCGAGCCACCCGCGCACGGTCTCCTCCTCCGCGCGCAGGCCAGATGAGCGCAGCGCAGGGATGAGCAGATGCAGATGCGTCACGAGCGCCATGATGCGCTGCAGGAGGTGGACCTGCTCGCCTGAGACCTTCGCAAGCCGGGCGCGGTTCTGCGCCTGGTGCGTTATCAGCGTCGCCAGGCGCTTTTGGATCTCCTCCATGTGCTTCGCCTGACCCGCCGCCTGCGTGCCTTGGGCGTCGACGCGCTGTCTCAGATCGTCGAAGGACGTTGCGAGCGCGGGCACCAGGCTAGAAGGGAAGGTGCAAGTGGACGTGAGTAGGTGTGTTTCGATCGGGGACAGGTGGGCACACGCACGTAGCTGGATCGGGGTTATCTCGGACAGCTCGCGCCCAGACCGTCTCGTTCAGCGCATTCTGTGGTCGCCCGTACTGCGCAATCCGGCCCGCGTCGACTCGGTTGTAGAAGATATACTGGAATCGGCACTGTGGGGAGCTAGGATTCCATGCTTGGTACAATGCTTCGATGCGCGCTTGAAGACGCGTCCCCTCGTCCACCGTCCCGCCGCCACCGCCGAGGGCAGAAGTGGTGAGCGTATTTTGTTGTGGTGGAGCCAGGTTGTTCGTGGACGCGTTGCCCAATGGCCCAGCAGACTGTGTCGCCCCGAGTGGCTTTGCGCCGAACATCCCACTGCCCCCAAACATCCCTGTCCCCGTCCCCGTGCTCGTGCCCGCGGCAGGTTGCGCGCTCGACGTGCCAAAGATACTCGTCCCCGCCGCTGGCTGAGTGCCCGCAGTGCTGGCACCGAAGAGCCCTGTCCCCGGGGCGGGCTGCGTCGTCGTATTGCTGCCGAAGAGTCCCGTCGCGGGCTTTGCTGCGCTGTTGGCGAAGAGCCCGCCGCCGAGCGCTGGAGTCGTGCCGGGTGCGGCCGTGTTGGCGCCGAAGAGTCCTGTCCCTGGTGCTGGTGCGTTGGCATTCGCGTTGGCATTGGCCGTGTTGTTGGCGCCGAAAATGCCACCACCACCGCTACCAAAGATCCCCGTTCCCGTCCCTGTGCCCGTCGCTGGCGCGTTGTTGGTGTTGCTGGCACCAAAGAGGCCCGTCCCAGTTCCCCCACCTCCACCAGCCGCACCAAAGATTCCGGTCCCTGCACCCGGTGCTGGCGCGTTGTTATTGTTGTTGTTGTTGTTGTTGGCACCGAAGATATTTGTCCCCGTCGCTGCGCCTCCGCCAGTCCCAAAAAGGCCTGTCCCAGTCGTGCCTGTGTTACTCGTTCCAAATATATTCGTGCCTGCATTGTTGTTGTTGTTATTCGCGTTGTTCCCAGCGGTATTCGTGAACAGGTTGAGCGTCGGCGCCTGCTGCTGCTGCTGCGGCTGTGCGGCGGAGGTGTTAAAGAATGACATCTCGGCGCTGGGATGTCGCGAAGGAAAGGATCGGGGAGGATGGCAGAGCTTCCGTGCGAAGAGCGAATGCCAAGTCCACACGCGCCGCAAGACCAGGAGGGGAAGAGACAGGCGTGGCTGTGATGAGTCGCACACACAAGTGTCAACAATCTTGAAGGATCAGTGTTCTTTCTCTCGCCGCTGAGACAGTTACATTGGGTTTTCTATGGGATCGGGGGCCTCTCAAAGCCGATATTGTATGATACTAAGGCTAAAGGATGATTTGACGTTGAAAACGCACCTAGTGCTTGCTTTCCAATGAGAGCATTCCTGGAGCTCAATACAGTAGGGGTCACGGGCCGTTCGGAGAGAGACGACGATAGTCTAGCACATCTTTCCTCTTCTGACGCCTTCAGGGTCCAGGTCGTGCCGTTCCCAAATGCGGTGGACCTTCTACAGTGGATCTGGAAGCTTTCTGAGAGGAGGATCACAGAAATCTCCGATACTCAGGATCTCTGCGGCCAGGACTGACCGGTGTATGAGGAATGCCTGAACAATGCCCGGTTCCGCACCCCGGTGCCAAGCAGTCACAGGAAGCGCGCACCGCAATCCGCAGCGGCGCAGCCCCCGGGCTGGGCGATCGTTCCCGCCATCATCCGACCGCGCGCATTCATCATTCCATCACCCAATCAATCACGCGCCTATCGCACGATTGGCCAACATTTTCCGGAAAACCGCAAAAACTCCCACGCACGCCATGATAAAATGGAGACACGCGGGCAAGGGGCAGCGATCGCCTCCCTTCCCACCCTTCGTCCCCACCGATGATGCTTTCTGCTGTGCTCGCCGCTGCCGCGCTGCTCTCGGGCGTCTCCGCCCAGCTGACCATCAACACCCCGTGCGCCACCTCCCACACACAACCGTTCTTCTTGGTGTATCCTGATGTGATATTTGTCTTTTTTAGGACCACGGGTGGTGTCCCTGGAACGCGTGAGTCGAGTCGAGATTCGCATACCGGGCGAGAGGCTGATGCGCGCGGCGGGATGTTACAGCTGAGTGTGTGCCGTTGTTGATCCAGTGGTCCGGAGGAACCCGTGCGTCCACTCCCTTGTCTTCTCTTCCCGCTTGCTGTGTCATGCTGACGCTTGTGCCGCCGCCCAGCCCCATACTTCGTCGTGAGTCTATCTCGCTCATCCTGTGCCCTACCGTTCCTCAATCGAGTCTACTAGACGTGAGTCGCTGGCCACGTCAGCCGCTTCTGCCCCTGCGTATGCTTAAGACGCGATAGCCTGAACTCGGTTCCCCCCGCTGCTCTGCCCATCCTCTCGTACAACGGAGTCAGCGTGACGCAGGAGACCTGGACCGTGAACGTCACCACCGGTGAGTCTCTTTGCGTGCAAGTCTGCTCATGGACCTGTCGCATTGATCTTTTGCACCAGGCACACAGCTCTTGCTGTCAATCAAGGACAACACCGGTGCGGGGCAGACCAGTGCCCCGTTCCCTGTCGTCGCTGGCGGTATGTACTTTCCGTCTGCCTGTGCGTGAGCGGTCGTCGCCTGATGCTCACTATCCCAGCTGGTGATGGTTGCTTGACCGCCTCATCTTCTTCCTCCGCCTCGGCCTCTTCCACCTCCGGCTCCTCCACTGCCTCTTCCTCTAGCACGTCGTCGTCTTCGTCGGTCTCGTCCACGTCCAGCTCCACCCCCGTCACGACCAGCACCAGCACCACGACCTCGATCTCCTCGGTGACCTCCATCCCGGCTTCCACCTCGGTGAGGCCTACTGCATCCAGCGTGAGGTGCGTGTTCTCGGCTGCGTTTTCTCTGTGGCGGGTTGCTGATTCGAGGACTCGTCGTTAGTGCGTCCGTCTCTGTCACGACTTCGCCTTCACCTTCGACCACCTCGAATGCCGGTTTCAAGGCCGGCGTGCCCGCCGGTGCCGTGGCCGTCCTCGGCGCCGCGGCCGTTGCTGCGTTTCAGCTGCTGTAAGCCGTTTTCGGGTGACCCTTGCCGAAGACGCACGGTCTGTGGGGCCGATTAGTTTTTCCTCAGCTATACACCGACAGAAGGATACGTACATACCCCAGGTCTGCTGTTGCTCTTCCGCGTCCCTTCTTTCCCTACGGACGGACGTACGCTTGGTTTTATTTCTCTCTACGAACCTTTTCACGTTTAATATGATTCGATCCACGTATACCGATTGTACGCCGCTTGTTGTTCTTTTTCGTATGGTGTACCTGTTGTGCTTGCTGCCTGCGTGCTTGGATACATATGCATTCTAGCCCTGGGCCGTGTGGTTGTCATGGCGTATGTGTGTGAGCCACGTGCGGGCTTGTGTCGATCGCCCTGACGTACGGTATTTATAACGTCTGAGGAACCGGATTAGACGAGTTGTCTCCCGAACTCTTCCCGCCGCAGATTGATTCTCAAGTGACAGAATATGGCGGAGCGTGGCCGCGGCAGCATTAAACCAATTCCCCGCACAATTGCCAGGATGTGTGTGCGTCAACGAGCAGCTGGGAATACCGAACCATCAGCCGGCTGACGTTCCTGGGCAACCGAAGTTCGTCCGAGAGGGTCAAGTGGTTGTCAGGCTTGACGATCCTGCTCGCGTTGACGCCCGTCACGGGTGCATTTCCGGGGAAATGCATGCGGGTGCGGAGGATATATAAAGGGCGCTTGTATGTCGGGGGCCACCAGTCTCCCGCATCTCCCCTCCCTCACCCGCCTTCTGATACTCAGGACCTGATGCTTCCTCTCGCGCTGACTTCGCTGCTGGCCTTGGTGCCGTTCGTCATGGCGCAATCGCCCATCTATGGACAATGTGCGTGCCCGTTCCATGTCACTCTGTGTTAATCAACTCCGGCTACAGGCGGTGGTGGCTCAAGCTATACTGGTCCCACGGCAAGTACCCCATCTATTCTAAGCGCCGTGCTGCGGCTGACAGGACCCGCGGGCGTCCCCCTCAGACCTGCGTGGCGGGCTCGACATGCGTCTTCAGCAACCCCTTCTACTCGCAGTGCCTGCCCTCCGGCACGGCCACAACTACCGCCGGGTCCGGCAGCGGTGGATCCGGCACGACGAGCACGGCGCTGCCGACGGGCACGTCGACGGTCAAGTCGAACACGATCGCCAAGTCCTCTGGCGGCAAGCTGTACTTCGGGAGCGCGACGGACAACCCCGAGCTGACGGACACGGCCTATGTCGCCAAGCTGAGCGACAACACGCTGTTTGGACAGCTCACCCCGGGAAACAGCATGAAATGGGTGCGTCGCCCGCGTGGAGCTGTGTCGATACGAGCTGACAGAGGAATCGCTGTGCAGGACGCGACTGAGCCTTCGCAAGGTTTGCGCCAAGACCTCGGAGCAAGGGAGTTGCAGAACTGAACATGCTCTCCAGGCACGTTCACCTTCACGGCGGGTGATGTGATCGCCAACCTCGCGAAAAAGAACGGCCAGCTGCTCCGGGGCCACAACTGTGTGTGGTACAACCAGCTCCCCGGATGGGTCACTGCGACGAACTTTACGGCCGCGCAGTTGACCAGCATCGTCCAGACGCATTGCAGCACAGTTGTGAGTAATATCAGGGAAGTTTCATGTCCAAGATGGTTGAGTTGGTGCCCAGGTCAAACACTACGCTGGCCAAGTTTGTGAGTTTTCGATCGGCTTCTGGTTGAAATGTGATTTCTGATTCCCAACAGACTCTTGGGACGTTGTCAACGGTGTGTTTCTCGATTGGGCACTCCCCTGATTGGGAACTCAACTCAACAGAGCCGTTCAATGATGATGGAACGGTCCGCCAATACGTCTTCTCAAAAGCCCTGGGCCTCGGATACGTCACCACCGCCCTGGTCGCTGCCCGCGCCGCTGACCCTGCCGCGAAACTCTACGTACGTCGATTTCATTGCCCTTCACCCTACCGCTGAAAAAGCTGAACAATTCCCACAGATCAACGACTACAACATCGACTCCGCAGGCGCCAAATCAACGGCCATGCAGAACCTCGTCAAGTCGCTCAAGGCCGCGGGCACGCCGATCGACGGCATCGGCATCCAGGGCCACCTGATCGTCGGCCAGGTCCCGTCCAAGGCGGCGCTCATCGCGAACTACCAGGCGTTCACCGCGCTCGGCGTCGAGATCGCCATCACCGAGCTCGACATCCGCATGACGCTCCCCGAGACGCCCGCCCTGCTGGCTCAGCAGAAGACGGACTACCAGACCGTCATCAGCGCGTGCAAGGCCGTTGCGGGCTGTGTCGGTGTCACGATCTGGGATTACACGGACAAGGTGCGTTGTTGTTGTGAGGTGTGTGTGGGACGGTGGCTGAATCTTTATTGTAGTACTCTTGGATCCCGGGTGTGTTCTCGGGACAGGGCGCTGCGTTGCCATTTGACAACGTGAGTGTTGGCTGTTCTTGGTTTTGTAAAGCATGTCACTGACGAGAGCGACAGAACCTCGTCGCCAAGCCTGCGTACGACGGAATCATCGCAGGATGGACGCTCTGATTTGAGTAAGGAGTGCGATATCGAGGGGTTAATTACAATCCAAAAAATCAATGTTTTATTAATGCTTGCTTACCATCTGCATCCAACTCATCTTTCGATTTTCGTCTTAGTAACAAAAGCCCAGACAGTAAGTTGATCATGATTGCCGTGCGGCAGTGACCGACATCTGACAGAGATTTTAACATTCTGCCCTTGACTTTTCTGACTAAGCTGCCTTTTTGGGAAGCGTCCGGCACGTGCACACGGAGGCTCCGGATCCTGATTTATTTTACTTATTGGTGTATTTGTCCAGTAAATAACTTTGTTGACAACCTCGTGACCTCCCACCTTTCTCCCTTGCCCATCCCCCTTCTCCCGTTTGACGCGATGACCCAACGATAACCCACCCCTGCCAGCAGCTGGTCGTGCCACGCGATGTGCACGCATGGAAGGCCTTCCACGCCATTGGGCTGCCGCCCCGCCGCTGGTACTCAACGGAGGGAGGTCATCAGGAGTGACGCCGTGAGCGTGCGGTCACAGCATCACTTCCGATGTCCTCCCTCTCTCTTTCTTCCACTACTCCCTCATCCCCTGCCCTTTGCACGTTGTCCCCTCCTCTCCTCCTCCTGTCCCACACAGCACCTCAGGCCCTCTGCTGTGCATGTACATAAGTAACTGTACAAGCTTCTTTGTCCCTACTAGCCACAGTACTGTATGTATTTAGATGTAAATGCCACTTCCTTGTCCCCTCTGACTGAACTCTGAACAAAAAAAACTGCTCACTTCAATTCTAAGCTTGTTCCCAACACTTGGACATTATTCTATGTGCATTTGTACCCTCCTTATTCAGTACATAATTATTTTCGGGGAATTTCGGTGCCCATCACCTGCCATTGGCCAGTCATTGCCCCATTTGGGTCCTTCCCAAAAAGGAATCCCAAGGGCAGAAAGTTGCCATCTATCAGACAGGTCGCGTCTGGCGACTGCACAGCCTGATCAAGATCGATCACGTGTCTTCTTGCGACCGTGCTCTGGTCCCGCTCACTTCCGTCTGAGTCGCGGTCATGGACACTGTGAAGCTCAGGAAACGGATTAGCGCTCTGGATCGGTCGATTTCCATCCTTCAAGACCAGCTGCGTGTGCTCGAAGCAGAGAAAGCGGACCTCGCGACCCGGCTCTGTCGATCCACGTACCTCGTCGAAACCCTACCTCCGGAGATCACAGCCCAGATCTTTATGCACTACATCGCTGCGCTGGAAGGACCCACCCTGTCACCGGCCTTGCTCGGGGTGTGCCGTACATGGCGACAGGTCGCATTGGGCACCCCGGGGCTGTGGAACGACATCTTCGTGTCCAGTGATCACCCGCAGCCAGACGCACTGCTGGAGCGCTGGGTGGAGCGCACTGGGCCCCGCATCCCCTTAGACCTCGAGCTCAACACGACGTCGCGGACGATGGAGCCACTGCTGGCCGTGGTGGGTGCGCACGCGACGCGCTGGCGCTGCGTGGCGCTGCGTATGTCCATTCCGTGCACGTTTAGCCTGGCCCCGAGCGATGGATCCGGATCATGGGAAAGCCTGGAGGAGCTGGAGGTGCTCGCGGGCCCGCAGCACGCGGCGGTACTGAGCCCTGTGACGGGCCTGTTCCGCGCGCCGCGGCTGCGCCAGGTGCGCGTGGAGGTATTCCCCGCAACGCAGCTCGTGCTGCCGTGGACACAGATCACGTCCCTGACGCTCCTCGAGCAGTCGCTGGCGCAGTGCCTCATGATCATCTCGCAGACGCGCCAGCTGGAAGCGCTGCACGTGTCGCTGACAAATCGACACACCCGCCACCGCCCGATCTCGCTGGTGCTGCCTGCGCTGCGGCGGCTCACGATCGAGTGTGACGCGCTGCCGTCGATCCTCGGGTACATGACCCTGCCACAGCTCACGGACCTCGACGTCGGAGGCCATGTCGACGGCGTGATCCCGCTCGTGATGCGTTCAGAGTGTACAATCACCCACCTCCGCCTGTCTGAAATGGATCTGGACAGTCAAGCCGTTTACGGGTGCCTCAGAGCGCTGCGGGCGGTCACGCACCTCGTGGTGTCGTCGCCGGAGCCGGAATTTTTCCCGGACTTCCTGCGCATCTTCGCTGCCGCTTCCTACCACACGGAAGACCCACCAGTGATACTGCTGCCCCTGCTGCAGTCATTTGTCGTCGAGGAATGCGACTCTGTGCTTGAATTGGAAAGCATCCTGCCCTTACTCGAGGCGCGCTGCAAACAGCGGCAGGGCTATGCGTTGCCCACGGCCTTGCTGCGAACCTTTTGTGCGACCTTCTCGAAAGATTGCGTGGACGAGGACGAGCAATTCAAGGACGCAATACTCGCCATCAAAAATCTGGTGCGCGAGGGCCTCTCGCTCCAAATCGATATGCCTTGGCACTGGCAATCTCACGAGTTGAACTGGCATATGGTGAGTATCGGCCTCTTCTCGTGACGGGTCTCATGTCTACAGATTCAGGAATTGAAACGGCCGGACTAATACAGTACTCGACACCCCCTATGGGTAATACTTATCACGATCAAGTGTTCATTCAGGTCACAGGTCACCATGGCCTCTTGGCTGACTTTTGGATGAGCTCAAAATTCGAGATAAAGAAAAAGAAAAATCTTTGGTTCCTAAATTTCGAAACTATTTTGAACACTTGGACATCGTGGCATCACACATAACATATTCTATGTATTGTGACCAAAGATGATGCTGACCCGATATGTCACATATCAGCGCAAACCCGTCCTGATACCACAGATACTATTGATGACCCAGATCTGCAAACGCACCCTGATCTGCAATCCGTGATAAACACACATTTCCTGGGCTTCCACATCCCTCATTCTGTCCCGGATGGTCTCCCAGAGATTAAGGTATAGCTGTTCAATGCTCCTGTAAAATATACATATTCCATATTCCAAAATAATGAGGCCCGAGACCCGCAAACCTACCTTCAGAACACTTTTTTACTCATCTTGACTCAGAGATATCAGATTTCGATGCGGAAAAAAGCTCACACCCTTAGATTTGCTACTGGTAACACATGGTTGATACATCCTGAGTCCAGTCCTTGCAGTTCATGAGAACGGAGTATGTGTGACAGAGGCCATCAATCCAAGCCCTGCTGTCATAGTTCGACCACTTTTTCATCTTATCATCGACGATCTTATCTTATCTTGGTACGACTTATCTTATCACGGATCACGGCATCAGACGGACCGGGCTAGGGGTTCCAGGGGTTATCTTTATCGATTCAAGGCTGCGCGACATACGCTCCGGAAGGTTCTACTACAACCCATGACCAGTGCTCCATGCGGTACATAGCCTTATGACTCATTAGTTGTAGATATGACTCAGACTGGATTTGGGTATAAATACTGTAGCTACTTGGTTGTATTCTCCAGTCTTCGAATTCACTTCTCTTTTCGACTTTGTTTTTGGGTTGATTGTCACATAATTCGAAGACTCCCCTCATACCCTCCTACCTCTCACCTCCTACCCTGCATACCGCACCGCTACGCCCGCTATATCCTCTTCATCCTTATCAACTCACTCATCTTTCTACCGAATCATCTAGTCGTTCTCTGTGATCGCAGAGAAGGGTTCATATCGAGCAAACTGCACCAGGCTACGGGTAACGTTGAGCCCGACCCAAGCCCTACGGTAGCTACAAGGAGTGCTGCGGAGACCTTCGGGAAAACGCACCTCGGGATCATCGGGCACGTGAAGAGCTAGGCCCGGGATCTTTTTGCTAGCAAGAGAACCCTCCCTCGAGTGCTTGTACAGCACATGAACCCACCATTTCGTACCAATTCCCATCGTTGTCTGGGAGCCCGTCTCCTCCCCCCATTGTACCCTCGTCGCCCGATCTGGCGTACCAAAACCAACCCGGGCCCTCCACTCCTTACCTCGCCCTCCTGCCTCCTGAAGACGAGATCCCAGACCTCGACGAGCTGCCCTCCGAACAACCACCCTCGCCTCCACCTACCACGCCTGCCCCTACCATGTCAGGACATCACCACATCACCCTCGCCGCCAACCCCCCATACTTCGATGGGGACAAGTCCAAATATCTGGGCTTTGTGGACGCGTGTACCACTTACATTGGTGCCTACCGATCGGGATTCACGCTAGACGAGACAAAAATCCTCTTCGTCCTCTCCTACCTCCGTAATGAAACCGGCACAAGCTGCGCCGCCTCGAGATGGGCAATGAACTGGAAGCAGCATAACTTCGATGGCTTCCAGGGACTGAAGGCAGGGATCACAGCCAAGACCTTCTTGGAGGAACTGCAGAGGACTTTTGGGGACTCCAATGCGGAACAAGTCGCCGCTGCCCGACTCATGGCCCTGCGCCAAAACAAACGGTCCTTCGCGGACTACATCTCCGACTTCGAGATGTTGGCTGCAGATGCGGGATACAATGTGGTTGACACCACCGACGACAAGGGCGAATACAAGAAGGGGGACCAAGACAATATCCTCATCGAGTTCCTGGAGCGCGGACTCAGCAGCAAAATTGCCAGTTGTCTCTACAACACCGGTGTTCCCCTGCCCAAGGCATACGGCGCCTTCAAGAACTGGTGTGTCAACATTGAGGCCAATGCCTTGCGCAATCAGCTGCGTCAGGCATCCTATGCGCACTCGACTCCGCGGCCTCCCCCCCCCCCCCCCCCCAATTCCGCCCGCAGGCTGCATCAGCGGCACCTGCACCTGCTCCGACCCGACCGACGGCCAATGAACCGGTTCCGATGGAGATTGATTGCACCCACGCCCGCGGCCGCAATATCATCTGCTACAACTGTCAGCAGCCTGGGCACATTGCGCGGAACTGCCCGGAACCAAGGAAGAAGCGCACATTCTTCAATCGGGCCACGATGCTTGAAGAGATTGAGAACGGGGACAAGGACAACGAGTTCCTCAAGGAGATTGCCGAGAAGCTGCGCGAGAAGGGTTTTTGAAGCGCTCCACTCCTCTAGCCAAGGAGGTGGAGCGTCCGGACTATGGACAATTTTCTGTACTTGTTTCGATTAAAGACATGAACGATTCGGCACATACATACACAATCTCAGACTCACTACGTACTAATATTCATGATTTTCTTGTTGCTGATATGGAAAAGGAACGTCAAAGAAAAATAGCTTTAAATAGAGAGTATTTACAGAGTAAAAAGGATCAGAAAGCTGCGGATAAATTAATTTTGGACTCCTACGTATCTATGGCTCGTGGAGAAGGAACCACGTCAACAAAGACCAAAAAGGGGAGCATCGCTCCGGAGGCTCAATCCTTGAAGAAGGAGGAAGCGCCCAAGGAATCTGTCGAAATCGAGGTTCCAGAAGCACCCAAACGCACAAGGGTGCCGGACGCCGTCCAGAGGAAGTCGGCAGCCGAGAAACAGAAGGGCCCGCAGCCCAGCAGACTGGCGCAGGAACTGCGCAACTACCAGGCCGAAAGGAAGAGACATTCAATGGACATGTTGACGATCAGTATGAATGATAGTATCAATGATAAGTAATCATAAGTAATGATCATTACTTATGATTACTTAGCTTACTACCGTCTTCCTGCCCATTCCACCGGCTTCTAGATGATATTCAAATAGAGTATATATACCAACTGTACCCTGCAGAATAATAACAAGTTCTCGTCTCATATTACATCAACAGGTGATGGGCCCCGGCCGTAACTGAATCTACTCTCGAATAAATCGTCGCTCTCGCTCTCACGCCACGTCACTAGGGCTCCGCCTAATCAGCACAAAAAGATTTACCTTTCTTAATCCTCCTTCAACAAATTAACACATCATGTCGAACGATGCAGCAACTTCTGCCTACCGAATCACACATCTCACGGGTGAAGAAAATATTCAAACATGGACCGTTAAGATGTCAGACATACTAACGGACATGGGTTTGTACGGCTACCCATCGGGAACCATCCCAAGACCAGCCGGACCGGACTCCGACTCCGCCGTTGTCGCATGGTCTGAAAAAGACCGCCGTGCCCTCTCCGCAATCCGACTTCGTGTAGCAGATGGGCCGCTAATATATATCACTGATGCCAAGACTTCGAAGGCAGCCTGGGACACTCTAATGGACACTTACAAATCCAAAGGAGTCATCGGCATCGTCCTCCTACGCCGCAAACTGGCTCGGACCACTTGTGCCGAGGACACGGATATTGAAGAGCACATCCGAGCACTCACATCGATTCGCACACAGCTTGCGGCGTTGGGTTCCAAGGTCGAAGATAATGAATTTTGCATAAACATCCTTACATCATTACCTGACTCGTGGGACGCATTTATCCGTGGGGTCGACACATCTGCTCTCACGACCCCCGCCCCGCTCATCGCACGAATTCTTGAACAGAAGCATCATATCTCGGAACGATCCGGGACAAACGAGGTCGCCCTCCCAGCACGAAATCAACCTAGCTATAAGAAAAAATATAACGGCAACATCACCTGCTTTGGCTGTGGACGACGCGGACATATGATTGCAGATTGTCGTGATACCCAGGCCGGAAAAACGTTTTCCAGGGAGCAAAAAGAATGGAACAGCCGAGGAAACGGAAATCGGCAATCGGGCCGTGCACATGTAAGCGAAGATCACCGTGACAACGAAGACGATTTTGCATTCATGGCCATCCCACACACTCTACACCCCAATACCGAGACCTGGCTTGCAGATAGTGGAGCCACAAAACATATAATACGAAATAAATCGATTTTCTCAGCTTATCACGGGACCCCAGGACACACCGTCAAAGGTTTCGGTGCCTCGCCAAGCCTTGGCATTGGCACAGCTCCCATCATTTCACACGTCGGAAATAACACATATACAATCAAACTACAGAACGCATTGCACGTCCCAGATGCCCCCTGCAATCTCATTTCTATCAGCGCAATCACAAAAGCCGGGTTGTCTGTCCAGTTCCAGGGGGAGCAAATGAAGGTCTTCACTAACACCCCAACACCACGGGAAATTATGCGAGGAATTCAAATCGGCAGTTTATTCCACCTCCAAATCACGCACCGCCACCGGAATTCATCTCCGATATTGACACCTGTCAACGAACATGCCATCGCGTTACCTGCCAAACCTCCCACACATTCTTGGGACAAATGGCATCGCATTTTTGGGCACATCCAACACAAGTCAATCAAATTGTTAAAGGATAAAAACATGGTGCAAGGAATGGAAATCGACAAAAAAACACCACCAGCCGATTTTTGCGAAACATGTGTAAAAACAAAGACACATGTTGCACCGTTTCCCCCCAAATCAGACACAGAATACAAAAATATCGGCGATATGACTTTTACCGACGTATGGGGACCATCACGCATCACCAGAATTGATGGTTCACGTTACTATGCATCATTCACGGACGCAAAATCACGCTGATCCATCGTCTATTTTTTAAAGGCCAAATCTGATGTGAAGGATAAAATACGACACTACGCGGAGTTCATATACACTCAAACGGGGAAACGAGTGAAATTCTTTCGATGTGACAACGGAAAGGAGTATGTAAACTCCGAGGTCCGTCAGTACCTCAATGACAACGGAATTCGGCTCGAATTAACAGCCCCACATTCATCTGCACAGAATGGAGTCGCAGAACGCCTGAATCGCACACTGATCGAAAATGCGCGTGCCATGATGGCGCATTTCAATTTACCGAAGTTTTTATGGCCAGAGGCCGTTGCTTATGCTACATATTTAAAAAATCGATCACCAACCCGTGGCCTCCAGGGGCCGATCACACCAGACGAAGCGTTCTGGAAGCAGAAGCCAGACGTTTCACGTCTTCAAGAATTTGGCAGCCCATGCTGGGTACTGGATCAAGGAGGAAAAATCGGAAAACTAGACAATAAATCACGAAAACTCATTTTTACCGGTTTTTCAAATGAGTCCAAGGCCTATCGCTACTATAAAGCGGACTCACGCCAGATTCTGACAAGCCGAAACGTTATTTTTTCGCCAGATGCCATAATAGAAACCTCGACACTTTCTGATCCCCCTTCGTTGCAGCTCGAGGGGGAGAGAATTACTATTCCCGCGCCTGCAACTCCGAAAAATACACTAACACCACCCTCGTCACCTCTCACAACACCACCTGACACCCCGAAAATCCACCCAGAAGAACCACATATTGCACCCTGTGATATATCCAGTAAAATTGATCCCCAAAACATTATTTCTGGATCACAAAGAAAACCGGCCACAAATCCAGACAGTACGGGATCTCAATTACCCAATAACCCTGACACCAGATCGCCGATTAGACCAGACGCGTGGAAACACCGCATGGCCACCAATGATTATCCGGACACTGCGCTTACTGCCACATCTGATCCATCAACGATTGAAGAACCAAAATCACGATCTGACTGGCCGCAATGGAAATTAGCCATGGAAGAAGAAATAAAACAATTAAAAACCCTAGGGACCTATTCTCTCGAGGCACTCCCTGCCGAACGAACAGCCATATCCTGCAAATGGGTATTTCGCATCAAAAGAGATAATAATGGAAAAATTTCACGATACAAAGCACGACTGGTCGCAAAAGGTTTCTCACAAATTCCAGGGATTGATTTCGATGAAACCTTCGCCCCTGTTGTCCGAATTGAAACCATCAGACTTCTATTGGCACTTGCCACACAATACAACCTCAAAATACATGTTGTCGATGTCATAGGTGCTTATCTGAATGGGGAACTCGAAGAAGAACTTTACATGCAACAGCCCCCGCTATTCCATGATGGAACCACATGTGTCTGTCGATTATGGCGTACACTTTATGGCCTCAAACAATCTGGCCGAGTCTGGAACCTCACAATCAACGCATCATTTATCAAACTTGGTTTCACGCGCCTAATATCAGATCAGTGCGTCTACATCCGCCGAAATGATGCCAATCTTGTCATAGTCGCCATCCACGTTGACGACATGACAATCCTTGCATCGTCTGATGAACTTATGAATTTGATTGAGAAGGAACTCAGTGCCGAGTTCTCAATCAAACTCCTCGGAGAAATCCGGCAACTCCTTGGCATGGAGATTTCCCGCACCCAAAACTCGACCCAGCTCACACAAACCCAATATATTACAAAGATCCTGGCCAAATATGGAATGGACACATGCAACCCAGTCCAAACTCCCATGGACCCAAACGTTCAACTTTCCCGCACCCCGAACGATAAATCCTATGCTGACATCAAAAATGTCTATCAAAATATGATTGGATCACTCCTCTATGCTGCCATCACAACCCGACCAGACATCTCATTTGCTGTACAAACCCTATCCCAATTTAATCCCAACCCTGGACCGGAGCACCTCACAGCTGCAAAACGAGTTTTTTGATATCTACGCGGAACGGCGAAAAATGGGATCACATACCATCACAAACCACTTACCGCCCTCGAGATCTTCTCAGATGCTGATTGGGGCAGCAATCCTGACACACGACGATCAGTCACCGGCTACGTCACTATGCTAGCCGGTGCCGCCGTCACATGGAACTCGAAAAAACAGCCCACCGTTGCTTTATCAAGCATGGAAGCTGAATATATGGCACTGGCCAGTGCCACACGAGAAGCCTTATGGCTCAGATCATTGTTTTCAGAAATAGGACTCAACACATCCCAATCTACCCATATTAATGTCGATAACATGGGAACGATAGCCTTCGCCCAAAACTCCGGTTTCCACGCACGATCAAAGCACATTGACATTCGGTACCATTTTATTCGAGATCACATCACTTCTCGAGAAGTGTCAGTTTCCCACGTACCAACGAACGAGAACACGGCAGATATCCTTACAAAAGGACTCCCACGGGACAAGCACGAACATTTCGCTAAAGCTCTAGGCATGTATCGCGCTTGAGGGGGAGTGTTGACGATCAGTATGAATGATAGTATCAATGATAAGTAATCATAAGTAATGAT